GGGGTGGCCCTCGCGCTTGCCGGTCATGTAAGCCTTGACATCATCGCCGGCCTGCTCGACATCACGGGCAATGTCGAAGGTGTAACGGGGAGTTTCGGGAATGGTCAGACGGTCTGTAGTTGGATTACCCAGTTAGGAGACGATACATTATGCCAATGGTTGTCAATGGCACTTACAGTAGAGGGCAATGCAGGCGGGGACGGCACCGAAGCCGATCAGGGTACGCCACATCTTGTCAACAGCCAGCTGGCAGACACCAGTGCAGGTGGCAGTGGTGGCGGCAGAAGACAATGAGCCCTTGAAGCCGAGAGTGACGAAAAGCATGATGAGGGCAGCAGTGAACTGGCCGAGACCCTGCATAGCAAAGACGGCGCTCATCATGGCACCACGCCACTTGGTGGAGGCGAACCTGTAGTAGCGATTCGCATTAGTCAACCACTCCAGTGAAGCAAGCGATGAGATTCAGAGATACTTACTCAGATGTGATAATGGAAGACAGGGGGTAGTCACCACCGATACCGATGCCCATAATAACACGCCAGAAGATGATGAGACCGATAACGTCGCAGGCAGGAGAACCGCTGGTCAGGGCCTGACCGATGGTAGCGAAGATGATGACAATAAGTTCCAGACCGTACATGCGCTTACGACCGACCAAATCGGCAGCGATACCAAATCCAACCTGTCCAATGACAGTTCCGGCAGAGGTGGCGAGCTTGATGGCACTGTCGGAGGAGGTGGGCATCTGGCCGACTCCTGGGAAGTAGACGATACCCAGCATAACGGTCAACATGGAGGCAGTGAAGATGTCGTATGAGTCTGTGAAGAAACCAACACCGGCAACGACAATGGCGCGGACATGGTACCAGCCAAAGGGAGCCTTGTCGATCTCGGCGAGGGCCAGACGACGACGCTCGTTGAGATCCTGGACGTGGAGGAAATCATTGTTGTAGTTGTGGTAGGCACTGTTGCCTCCGGCGGTCTTACCGAACGCCATGGTAAAAAAAAAGGGGGCTGTTGTTTTTTTGTAACAGAAGAAGAAGAAAAAAGTGTAATGAGAGACAACAACACAAGCTCTATATCAACTCTCCTCCAAAGAGAAGAGGAAAAGACAAGGGGGTTCTTCAACGCCTGTGGTTGAGAAGCAAGAGAAGGGGAGGGGAGGGAACAGGCCAAGCAATTGCCAGGGACAGGCCCATGGGAGTTATATACAGACCAGGAGCACAACGATTTCACGTCTCAAACCCAAGGAGAATTAATTTTAATCATCTTCAGGCACCTTAGCCCATCGTGGATCGAGCTCCTCGGAGGCTTTTCCCAGCCAAGACGACCGAGGGTCTGAATAGTCTAGTCTGCCCTCTCGGAGCGGGCCAAACCGATGATAGAAAACGCGAATGCAGCCACAGACGGAGATGGAAGGGCAGAGGATCAGGCACTCCGACGCTATCTAGACGAGGCTATTGGCCACAGATGCCTGTCCGGGCTGTTGATGGAAAAGCCTAGAGCATGCTGACCCGAGTTTTGTTGTTGTGGAGGATCGACCAATGAGGGGCCGCGATGCCACCACGTTGTCTCGATCAACCCATCAGATACGGGGAACGCATCTCTCCACTTCTCGCATCTGCATATGCTTGAAATTTAGATGCGTCTGCGCAGCCTTCTTCCGGGAAGTCAAAAAGGAAGCCAAGGGTCCTGGCTATGACGGCAATCGACTCGCGGCTTGGCACGTCTCTGCTGAGGCCATTGGAATGCCTTGAGGTGCAGCAGCTGAGCTTCGACGATGCGCCATTCGCCTTGTCTCGAGGCCATTCTGCAGTATCGTTCTAGTTTCGAGACCGAAACTGAGTGAGGCGGGTGGAGCCGGTCGGTTGCCTGTTTGGGACACCGATGATTCGGATCGGACCCATGGTCTATTCGCCTTATCCACCTCGCCTTGAAGCTTGGAAGCCTCTCCGCGCATGAGCTTGCCTGCATCGTCCCACGTGCTCGCCCCAGCGCTGCTGAATCCCTATCAAATTCTGCCTTCGATTCAGTTCAAGATAGTGCTGAATCCACGTATCCACGCTGCCTGAAAGCCACTTTCTTCTCGAGCAACTGCTGATCAGTTCCAAATTCACTCATGTACGCCACCTGCATCGTCGCCTGCAGCCTGTAAGCCATGGCTTGCCCCCGGCTTCGTTGAGCAGCTTATTTTCAAGGTTGATTTTTTATTTTTGAGCCTGTTTTCGTCTCTCTTTTGCCTATTTTTGCATCGCGTGAGCCCGACGAGAAGAAAAATCGGTTCATCCCAGCATCCGCACTTCTCAGTCGCTAGCACCGGCCAGGGTTCAGGATCTAAATTTTTTTTTTGTCAGCTTCTGCTATCAAGGTTCAACATGTCACTCACAACACACACGCAAACCATGGCAGACAAGCCCCAGAACGACAACCACAACGCCGACGATGCGCTCGCCGACACTCCGGCGCTCTCCTACAGAGTGGTCACGCGAGACCAGGAGAAGCAGGATGCGCTGCACCTAGTTGCTGACAGCATCGCACAGCAGCGCCAAACCGCCTCTGCCGCCATCATCTTCAACCCGCTCTGCATCGCGGGGTTGTTCGCCATGTGTGCTGGTGCATACCACCAATACCAGCATGCAGGCGTCGGTACCCTCATGACAATGATTTGTGGTTCCATTATCCTGTATCTGTCGTTCGTTCGATTCTATACGTCAGGTTATATTCAGCGAGCCGAGGAGTTTCGATGGAAAGACTTCATCACTGGCCCTGACGGCAAGCAAGACACCGTCATCGCAGCCGTCTATGGTGACAACATCATCGGCACTGTTGTGCTGAGGCTGGAGGGAGAGGAAATAAACAAGAAGAAGAAGGACGTTGTGCAGCCCAGCACGGTTGGTCGAGGCATCATCCGCGCCTGGACCACCAAGATGCGATACCGAGGAAAGGGAATCGGTTCGGATCTGCTGCACTACGCGGTTCAGACGACAACCCGTGCGTTTGGCCCAACTGCCAGCGTCGAATTCGATCCCAACCACCCAAACAGCAAACACCCCATTCCCGACATGTTTCTCAGAACATTCAAGAAGCGCCAACAAAGGGCAGACAAGGCGCTGAGACAAGCGTTGAACCACCAAGGAAAACCGAGATAACGGTTGCATATACAGGCATCATGTAAATTAGTAGTACAATACAATAATAATAGTAATGACAACCAAACATGAAATCTCTAAATTCTGGATGAAAGAGGCAATGACGAAACGCTGTGAATCGTCACACTTGTTTATGTACAGCCTCATGGCAACCCTGAAGATTCCAGTACGGGAATTACTCGTACGATCCGCACAAAAAATTGGCGTTAAATCCGTATAGCATGTAGCACCACCTGCCAGTCCAGCAATTGGCAATTGAGCATGCGACAGTCCGTTGGGCGACAGAGCTATGTCGGCCAAGACACTTGGCGATGAAGAAATCTTTGCTTGGCAGTGGAGAAAATCGATGGCATCTGCTAGCAACACTAAGGCAGTCTATTGTCCGTGCTTGAGTTGGAAGAAAAAAATTCTTTTCTTTTCTGGCGTCGGAGTATCCCGTTGTTCGTGTTCTAGACAAACTATTGGAGTTTTCAAAGGGTCTTTCGGTGTCTTGAACCGTGATACTAAAAAGACAGTCAGTGGCGAGAGTGAGTAGCTGCAACCAAGAGAGGCCAGGACCCGAGCACGTGGGAAAGGGACGGTGGCCAATATTGAATCGCCGGCTGAGACCCGTCCGGTAGAATGGCGACGGGCGCTGAGAGGGTCTTTTGGTTTGTCTCCATCTGACAACGGTAGCTCACGCACGTGGGTGACTGGATCGTGTCTCGAAAGCTGGCTTTACTGGTACTCCACACCAACCCTCTCCCAGGACGCGCAACTATCGACGGTGACCAACGAGCGCATGAGCTGATGAGATTTTCTTTGGCTTCCTTTCTTCTTCTTTTTTGGAGTAAACGAAAAATAGCTCCGAATCCCACATCGTGTGTGCAAAGACGACTTTCGGACATTGGGAATGTGTTGGTGCTGACCTTTCGGATATTGGACAGAAGTTGGGTGCTAATGCGCTCATCTGCTGTTCATACGCCAATCTCAATTATGGTGCAAACCGCCGTGGTATCAACTCGTCTCGTCTCTCAAGAGCCCGGTTTCACCATCGCTTTCACAATCGCTTTCACACAGCCAACAGGATTCAGAAGCAACGCTGTGAAGCGGCCCCGGATTCAAACAAGGAAGGTCTGTACATAGATAAGATTCACTGAGTTTCACCATGTACGCGTACTCGTATGCCTCGTAGCGAGCACCTGCACCATGTAGCACTCGGTAAAGTACGTGCAGATGAGAGTTCCACTAGAGATATCTTGGTAAAAGATCCGAAGCGGGTTCTCGTCTCACTTCCAGTAGTAATACATAAGGAGGCGTTCCCGCTCTCCTCACAGAAATACGGCCACTTGTTCTCACGACGGCTCTCGGGGGCAGGTCCTCGGAAACCAGCTACGGCGAAAATCTCGGCTCCCCAGGCCCCCCCATCTCTTGTAACTTATTCATGTTGCTTATTAGTGCCCCAAGGTCTGGTTGTCTCGACTCGACTCGAGCTTTTTACTCATTAGCAGCAATGCCGTAGCTTGCCGTTCTTCATGGGTGGGTAGGTATTAGCTTTGGTAATGCGGTAATTGAATTGAGGATACCGTAGAGCAGTGACGGAAAATTTTGACAGAAGTGGCGCAAAAAGAGCGGCAAATTCTCCCACTAGAACATTGGCGTCCGCGCAGCCAGAGTATGCCCTGAGTAGCCCGTGATCTGGCGTTTTGGTTACGTTTGGCGTGAACTGTGCTGCGCTTAAACCATGGCTGTCCACTTGTGTGTCGGCGAGACTGGTTTGGCCGCGTGGCTGCTGAGTTTTTGGAATGACAGAATTCTAAGCCATCAATGTCATTCTACACGAGCCTTGGTTGTTACAGCTGGTCCAACCGAGCCGAAGAAGGCAGAGAGGGGAGAGAAGAGAGGGCGAGAGGAGCGGCCGTAGTGTACAAAGCCCCCTATAAACCGAGTGATTTCTGCAACAGACATACAGATAGAGGTTAGCCATGACGATTTGGAAGCAGGGGAGGCAGCTCTTTAAGTCGTTCAAGATGCGGTGATGCTTGGTCTCAACATGAATGCTACCACAAATGCCAAGCATTTTGCTCGGGGCCGTCCGTTTCTCTGGTTGCTGCATTTGTCGCTCATCCTGTTGTATGGTGCCTGTGATAGGCGGAGCTGGCAGCACTACCCAAGTCGACGACGCAAATTAGCGGCCGCTAAATATTCGCTGCCGAACGTTGGTGTTCCGCTTTTGGAGTGTGGTTTAGGGCTGGAACGCTGTAGTCTGTGCCCTCAGATGCCATGTGGAGTTGTTCGAAGCAAGGTTGAGGATTCGTTGCTCTCTCTCTGGCTGTGGTTGTCCCTACGGGTAATTGCACACGGCAGATGATTGATCACTTGTCACGCCGCTGTAACCGAGCACAGGTGCAGGCAGGTATTCGGTACGGGTCATCATACAGTACGCGTCTGTCCAGGCAGAAAGAGGGGAGGCAAGATTCTCCCTCATACAGGCGACAGGCGACAAGCGACAACAGCAGCCCGTAGGGGGGTCGTGCGTGTTCCTAGATGCCAAGGCTCGCTTTGTGATAAGCTCATGGCAAAATATGGGGAGTCAATTGACTGCCATTCCGGATAAGGCGAGGCGTGGCAGCGATCCGGTTCGACATGGGAGGATCCAGAGCATGGAAGTGGCACGAGCCAACGCTGAAGGATGCCATCATGCTGCTGCCGGTATGCAATAACCCGGGCGTAATATGCATCTATGCACTATGGCTCCAGCCCCGTGCGTAACGGTCCATCCAGTGCGGACTCTGTCGAGTCGACACGGTGCATCCACGCTCGCCAAAGGTCGCGGGTACACGGCCAGGATTCTGACGGACATGGCTTAGGGCTGCAAGAAGAGCGGGCAAGCTTCGACCAGCCGGTCCCCCGACCTGGCGGTTCCGTCGCTCTACCACTTTTCCGCAGTGATAACGTGCGTGGTGATGCGTGAGAGAAGTGCGCAGGACTACTGTATGTATGTACGTGTAGCAATAGTATCGTCGTATTTACTCAATATTACCAATTCATCCGTGTGTGTGATCCGGGCATGAAGCGGTCAGCCATGCAGAAGCTGGTGCATGCATTGATATCAGTTCATCCCACAGCACAGCATAGAGCATACAACACAACACAGCATAGCACAGCGGTGTGTGTGTGTTCCCGTGTTAGTGAACACCTGGAACTCTCCATTCCTACATACAATCATCAATGCTTGGCACACAATTACACGTATAAGTGAGTGTCTAGACTACACACTACATACCAAGAGATCAACGGAACGGGAACGGGCTCCGCTGAGGGAACAGCTAGTAGTCAAAAAAACTTCCATTCAATTACGAAATACGAAACAACAGCAATGACTACTATTAGCTTTGCCCAACTCTGGCTTTAATGGTCAAAATAGCATGGACTGGTCTAGACACGGTGAATCCAGCCCTTCACCGCAACAACAAGCAACAACAAAAAGACCACAAAGCACAGCCATCCCTGGCTCCAAACCCAAATGCCTCATACTGCCACAGGCAGAGGGAGGCCTCTCGCCAGTTCCAGATGCACGCAAACCGGCAGCTGTGACGTAGGATGACGATGCGGCCTGGTCGAATCCAGCTTGGCTCTGCGCATGGCCCGAGAGCCTCAAGCCCTTCGTTTTGCTTGTTTCAGTCCCGAGGGTTGCAAAGGCCATGCCCGGCCCCATGCCGCTCGCCAATCACAGCCCCCGTATATATGCATCTGGCAAGTTGTTCACTCCCTCTGCCGATCCCCATACTCCCGGCTCCTTGCTCCGTGTTTAGTGCCGTCCTAAAAGGAAAAAATGGCAAAAATTCCCACCTCAGCACGCCCCAGGTGCCTCCAACGTATATCGCTCATAGCCACCGCTCTCACCAGGTTCGTCCGCGATACTTCATCTCTGTTATGGAGAGACAACACCAGGGCTAATATCGCGCCCGCTGGGGTGCCCATGCCCGAGATGCAGCCCGGGATAGAAAATAATCATGGCAGGACTTTTTCTCACGCTTCCTCTCACTGTTGCCGCTGCATCAATCAATTGCCTCCTTCACTCCCCTCAACAATGTCCATTCACAAGCCCTAGCCCCGGGATGGATCCAAAGCCGCGGTATGGCACGGCTTTAGTATCGAGAGCCACCTCATTCTCATTGTTGCACCGCATGTGATGCTGTTCTACTTCCTAGAAGGGTATATCCGCATTCGCACCAAAAAGAGCCGGGCAAAATCAAAGGCTTCTCCATCCTACGTCAGCCGTGTAGTCGCCTCCTCCTTTTCCCTCTCCTCCCCCCTTTTATCCCAATGTCATGATCATAGGCAGAGGTATTATTTTGTCATTCCAAGTTGTGCCTTACTTGGACAGTATTTCTTTCCAAGCGCGTTAGCCCTATTTGCACTCTTCTAGCTGCCCGTAAACAACCTGCTGAAGTTAATGCATACCCAATCATCCTAAAGGGGGGTGTGCCCCCTAATGTCCGTGTTGCTTTATTGTATCTTTACTTGCAAGTTACAATACCACCGCTATTGGCATAAACTCAGCTCAAAGCTTTCAACTGTTCCATATAAGCCGCAAGTTTGAGAAGGGCTTGCCCTAAGTCAATAAGTCAGGACGAATCCCCATACCCTTCTTCGTACAGCAAGCCCTAGGTCGTTGCCTTTGGATCACTGGCTTTGTTGTTTTCTCAATTCCTCATCAACTGTCTCCAAAAATGCCTCTGTACATTCACTTGCAATCACGGCTCTTCACATCAAAGAAATAAGTTGATGAAAGGGTCGATTGCCTCTTCATCATTGTTCATTCGATTCCGACAAGAAAAGGGGTAATGGTACTATCACACACTCAACTCTACCAAAGAAAGTCCTGCATCGGCGCAGATCTAGTTCACCATCCTCCGTTCTCCTTCCGCTAATTTAATCCTTGATTGGATTTAACTTTAGAAAACATAAATTCCGGGCTTCCTTCACGTCGAAAGGTTTCTCGGAGACTACCGATACTATTACCTACCGCTTCTTAGTGTTCAACACGATGTATTCGACACGATACAAATTTCGGACGAACAGTTATACACATTCTATAAGGAAAGCAAAGGTATCTTTTAAGGAGAACCCTGAGCAGATTTACTGAACAGCATTCCTCTGTGAGGTGATTGAGAGCCCTCTCCAAGTTGCTGCTGATCGCACAGACATAGTCAACACTATCTTCATCTTCATCTAGACTCCAAAGTCCAGCTATAGTCAAATATCTGCTAAGTTGGTCTAGAGAGAGATGTAAGATAATCAGAGACGCTGGTTAATGCCTGACTATCACTTGTGCGTTAAACAATGACTGCCTCAAGTCGTTGGCCTCCTCTATCATTACTACCTCCGACAATCTACAAGAGTAGAAGAGGCCTCGACAAAGGCCGACATTCTGAGAGAATGTAAGAAGCAGGCAACGGCGAAGTACAGGCACTGCTCACAAGGTCCATATCATGGCAACGCGGGTATAGCGATTAAGAAAACCAGAACTGCTACCATCCTCTGTAACCATCACGGCGGGGAAATAAAGGCCTCCAGAGCGTATTGCTTCAAAATGAATACCCGAGTTTTATACACGCTGTAGACAGTACCAAAATGATGAAGGATATTGGTTCCATATGCATATACATTACATAAAACATGGCATCACATCTGAGTTCATTCTTCGCAATATAACTTCTGCATAATTACTCTCCATAACTCGACTTCCCATTGTTGGCTTGCGTACGATCCTTCGAGTCTTCTTGATTAAAGTACAGGCAAAAGCAAGGGATCTAAGTAGATTAAATCTCTTACCTAGCCCTTTCCCGATCTCCTTTTACTCACTGATTCATACCAAAGGCGGATCTGGAACAACATCAACTCTAGATTCTTTCTTGCCCCCTCCCCCCACAAAAGGCTTCTATCTGGCAATTTTAATGATACAGTCCAGCCAGCTTAATATTATTGATTGAGAGGGGTAAATTGGAACATGTGTGATGAACTTGAAAAAAATGTGAAAATATACTAGATGTCCAAAATATTGAATGCAAGAAAAGAGTCGTGAAGTTTTAGAAGGGCGGATAAGCAACTCTATAGGACTCTCCTGCGTCTAGGTACACAGTAAAGACCGTATATGTGCCCTTCAGTACCCGAGGGAGGCCTCTTTTCTACCTAGCTGCATTTTGAGCCGCGGGGCCTTGCTTAAACCTAGATGCTTCCTTTCCGCTATGCAGCTTCCAGATCTGACAGTAGGAAATAAACGAAGTGAAATTGACCGTTATGTTTTGCACGCCAACTATCTTGTTGGCTGAAGGCTACTGGACTAAGGACCAGAAGTTGCCGCTGAGGCAGCGGAATGCCATAGTATGAGCTAGAATTGGCTTGTCTGCCAGGCGTTGGAAGTCTCACAATAGTTTTGTCAAATCCTTTCTAGGCTTGCTGTTTGCTGCCAACCATCTATTGCTGGGACTTGGTGTTAAATTGACAAATACGACAAGGCACTGAATGCCACTACCGGTTTATCCTTCTTATGTCCATTACTTGACCTCTTTTGCCGCTTTGGCTTACACAGGGCATTGGGCTTGCCTTACTCCAGAGGAGCACATGTCTCCGGCGACAGCTCGACTTACACACTCATGTCTTTTAGGTAGCCCGGTTACTCTGGGAGGTAGGCCTTGCTCAACGCTCAAACTGTTGCAGAAAACTTGGGATTCCACTGGGAACACTGTCATAGGCAACACCTTACATGTCACAAGGGGGAACAGTACATGTATATACAGCAAAAACAGCATAGCTGTAATGGTATTGCTAAATAAATAACTCGAGATGCAGCTAGTAAATAAACATCATATCTGCAGGTTCATATATGCAGACGTATAGACTAGTAAATACTCCAAAGCACCATGTCCAAAAAAGGTATCATATCCATCATGACGAACCAGCGCCCACATGTAGCTTGGCCTGCACAACCAGCAGATCCGTCGTCACACCGCTAGCAACAAAGTGGGAAGCAAGGGTACCCAGGCAGCTCTGCACATCCTCTCTCGGCCTGTTTGCAAGCTTTCCTTCATCCAACTTGACTCCACCACCGCGGCTCAATACAACCAAGGTTGGGTTCGAGACATCCGTCTCGGTGGCGCTGGGAGCTGCGTCGGCGTGGCTGAGCAGCTCCTCAACTGTGGGTGCAACAGAGAACTTCTCAACCTTGATCCGAGAGGCTGTATCGCGGGGAAGCTTGCCCATGACCACATCAAGAATGTTGTCGCCTGCTGATGCGGACTTCTCAGAAAGCTCAGAAACGTTGATGATGGTTGCAGTTACGCGCTCGCGCTCGAGCAGTTGGATAACCAATCGAAGAGCGAAATTGTCATCGCGTCCACCAAAGTAGACGAAGAAGATGTTTTGAGTGCGGGCAACAAGAGGGGCAGTCGGGAACTCATGTTTCGAGACGTCGTACGAGTATTGTCGGCGAACATTGGCCTGTTCTTGGCCCTTGTTCTTGACGTCGTCTCGGCTTCGAGTGAAGAAAATGCCAACATTGTGGTCGATGGAGCGGAGAACCGACCTTACAAATGACAGATAGGTAGATGCAAGCCTGTCTTCGACATTTGCAGAAGCAATAATCTGCGCATCTCCCATGCTACCAGTCTCGGTCCACGGCATGAGGAGGAGATCTGACGACATGTTGGATGAGCGGGAAACCAGCGCCTCCGCAAAGCGATCCTCTGGCATAATGGCAACCTCTCCAGAGGCTGAGATATTGTGAAGCTGGCTGACGCTGCGGAAAATGTTGACAACTGGATCGTGCCTGGTGTATTCGTCGACCTGGGCCACCGTCATGACGGAAGAGTCACGATCTGTCAATTCGAGAAGTCGAAGACCATGAGCTCGGACAGGACCTTTGAGTACGTCCTCGTAACTTCTCTTTGAGCTTTCTTCGGATGTTCCGCTTGGAGTTTCTACGAAGCGAGAGCTTCCAAATAACGAAAGAAGGTTGAGCAATGCGGGCATGTTGTCCAGTCTAAGGTAAACGAGTAGCCGCCTGATTCTCTGGGGGGTCGCATCTGTTTCAGGTGTGACGTTGATTTGGGTAATCGCAGCACCAGTATCCCAATCGATCTCGCCACGCTTCCAAGCGGCAATCTTCTTCTGGTACCAAGGAGGGTAGAGGAAGGAAACGACGGGGGTTGTGAAGAAGGTGGTGAGAAGGGCCATGACCACAAAGATGGTAAAGGTTCTGACACTGAGAATCTGGGCTTGAAGACCAATGTTCTAGAAAATATAGATGTCAGCATAATTCTTAGTAAGGACTGTTTCCATATCAACTCACCAAAACAATAAGTTCCACAAGACCTTTACAACTCATCAGGACACCAATGGAAAATGATTCTCTCCAAACCAGACCATTCAGACGAGCCGCAAGAGACGCACCAATGATCTTTGTGATAAGGGCGACAAAGGTGGTAGCAAAAATATAGCCCCAGGCGGTTCCATTGTTGAGGAGGCCCAGATTGGTGCTGAGACCAGAGAGGGTAAAGTAAAGAGGCAGGAAAATGGAACCAACGAGATCTTCCATCTTTTCAATGACACGGATATTGAAGCCATGCTCACGTGGAATCACCAAACCAACAACAAATCCTCCAAAGATGGGATGGATTCCAATGATTCCCGTGAAGAAGGCGGAGGTGAGAGCGATGAGGAGAATGAGGGCAATGGCACTTTGCGAAGGGCCATTCTCGAGGTTGTTCGTTTTCCGCAACACAAATCGCAAGGTAGGTTTGACAATGACAACGAGGAGTATGACATAGCCGATGGCAACGAGAAGAATCCACAGCGCCGTAATGCCTTTGCCAGCGTTGACTAGAGCAACGCAGAGTGCCAGCAAGATCCATCCTAAGACACCATGTAAGTAGGAGTCACATGCCAACAAGACGTAAAGTTCTACTCACCGACGACATCGTTTGCAACACCTGCAGACAGAGTAATAACACCAACTGGGGTATCGAGAAGCTTCAATTCGGTCAAGATACGGCAAAGCACCGGGAAAGCCTAGAGGTCATGTTAGCTTCACGAGACGGCGAATTGGACAAGTCGCAGAAAAACGACTTACAGTAATGGCAACTGCGATGCCGACGAACAACATGTAGACGCTAAAGTCAATTGGCTTGATGCCGGGGTCATCGCGAAAAGCATTGTAAATACCCCAGGCGAGACCGCAGCCAACGCCAAAGGGCAGGGCCAAGCCAGCAAAAGCGACGGAGGTGGCCACACGCCAGTTGCTCAGCAGAAATCGGACATCAGTCTCGAGACCAATCATAAATAGGTAGAGAACAAGACCCAGGTTTGCGACCAGAGTAAGGTTGGGGATTGAAGCAGCGGGAAAGATGGCATCCTTGAAACCGGGGATATGGCCCATTACAGAGGGACCAAGGATGATGCCTCCGATGACCTCGGCAATGACTCGGGGCTGACGGATCTTGGACAGAGGCCAATGCAGGATGTGGCAGAGGATGACGATGAGTCCGACCTGTATGCGCCTGTGTCAACATTGCACGATATCAACCAGCAAGTGGAAAGGCTGCACTGACCTGGATAATGAAGATGGTGAGAGGGTTCTTCGGATCGTAGACGGACGGATTTGCGCCTTCCAGGACACCACCTTGCGGCGTGACCCGGACGGTCGAGGTTGGCGCAGCCGAAGCTGTCGTTGCGGTCGACATGGTGAGAGTCGTTTATTTACAATCGAGGTTGGCAGCAACAGTGCGGCCTCGAGGGCGCAGAGCTGGAATGCGGGATGAGTCGCCCCGATGAAGCTCCCACAGCAGAGACGCGGGGCCGGCGCGAGGACAAGCTCAGAGCTGTTGACACTCTAGAGCTGACCAGTTGGTGGGGATATGAGAGGGATTATATCCAAAAGAAGAACAGACTCCCTTCTCGCGAGAGAGAGAGAAGATGGAGATGGAAAAGAGAGAAGAGGAAGAGGAAAAGGCGGAGGATCACTAAATGGTGACATGACACTAGGAGCTGAGGCGCTCCAGCGGGCTTACAAGGGTCGTTCTCCGCTATCTTGGCCGCTGAAAGGCTGAAAGGACCACTGATCAGTTGACAGGATGAAGGCATCCAAGCCCAGTCTAGTGGAGGCGAGCGCTAGCAGGATTGATGCTTGGCGCCACGCAAGTTGGAGTTGGAGATGCCGCCATGTGATGACGATATGCGCACTGTGAAGAGTACGAGTACCTTGGACAGTCAAGGACTTGCGACCTGTAAAGCGCTGATCAATTGGTTGGTTGATGGTGCTTACGGGAGTGCAGATATTGATTATTGATTTTTAAATTAAACATCACATCCAATGACTCGATGAATTCTGCGTCAACCAACAAGGGTACATGTATGTATCAAGGGCCTTGCAATCCCCTCTTATCTCCAGATGGCTCAAGCGAGACGCACAACTTCTGACAAGACAGAATATCGATCCATTCAACCAAGAGGCCGCCATGCGAGTCGAGTCCATACATGTACTGTAGACTACCAACAAAAGCGGACTCTCATCGAGACTTACATGGGCCATGACACCATCGCCGCCGTCCCAGCCTTGTTGAACCACAGCTTGCTCGTGATGTTGCTGCAGCTTCAAAGGGGTGGTCATGCTTGAAGCTTCAAAATGCACCATCCAAGTAAGACGCGTGCTCCCACCGGCCCCCAAAGAGGATTCATGCATATGGAACATGCGTCGATGCAACTCTGGGGTGCTACGGAATATTACATCGAATGGAATCACGCACTAAGGAGGGGGAATACTTGTCTGTGCTTTGCCAATATGCGAAAGAGATAGTATCTTGCTCAACCGCATCTATCCGTGAGAGCTTTGCCTAGAACCCAGGCATATCTCAGTGCTGATTGCGTCATATCTCATCTCGCCTTTTTCTTCTTCTACAGACATGCGAGGATACGAAGTCACCTCTCTTTGCAGCCAAATCCCCGAGGCCACAGCCACGCAGGGTTCATGGGTAATGCCTGTCGTTTGATAAACCCGTGGAGTTGCGGTCTGTGCTTCCCAGCATCGCCCCCCCACAGTCTTGATTGTTCTACAACCATTAAGCCGGTGCCCGTATTGTTGCGCACACTAACACTGCCAAGCATCACGCAGTTGAGTCGAATCAGAACTCGCCCGTGGGCTTTAGTGAGACACACAGCGGCCCGTTGTCTCGCAAACTTTAATTGTTGGAGAGTCGCAGCTGAATGTAACGCTGTTCAGGAACACGCCAGACTTGCAGCAACTCCAAGATCGGCATCAATTCCTGCAGAAACTGAACAAGTTTCTGACAACTGGCACTCTTGCCAAGCGCCAAGGTGCTTATTTCAACAGAATGTGTCCTACTCGTATCACCAGCATCAAGTCTATGGCTTGGACAGTGTCGTGATTTTGAGCCTGTACCCAAAAGGCCCCCAAGTCCAGTCGCATGGCGCGTTTGCCTCGAACAATTGAACGCAACAGCAAAACCAACGTGGGTTGGCAAATAGTCTAGAGCATCTGTAGACTCGGCCTGTCACCGTATCTTCTTCACTGTGCTCCGTTCCCCATACAAACCCCGCAACTTGATGGAGCTCCGCCCGTTCAACCTTGGCTTCGACGCTTGATGACGCTGATGGACCCTGCATGGCAATCGTTTGAGGCTCCTTTTGTGTGCATGGCTCTTTGGCGGTTTTAATTCTACCAGGTCATATAGGACTATGATCAAATATTGGTATATTAACGCAACCTAGTTTTGATCAAGATCATTTACATGTGCTTGAATCCAAGTCAACGGAAACATTCAATATCTTAAAGGCATCTTGATAGCTATCCATCAGCTCAGCCTTGTGCAACACAAAAATATTAAACAGTCTCGTAGATAAGAAATAGTAGCACAGTAGCACAGTTCCAACATCTCACTCAAGCCAAGGACGCCACCTCGCTCAGCCGTAGCTGAATGGCCTTGTCCAACACTGCTTCATGCTCACTGTTGCGCAACATACGTCTGACACTTCAATGTTGTCTCATCCTGTTGAGGAATGCGATAAAGGAATTTTAACATTCTATTAACCTTGTTCTATTCCTCCCGACACAATTCGCCATCATCAGCAGATCCCAAACATCAATGCCGCCACAAAAGGCTAAAACCCGCACACTCTAATCTCATGATCTTGCCTGACCAACCGCAGACCCGAAACTAACCTCCGCACCCCTAAAGTGTGGAGAAAGCTGGGGCACCAGATCTCTGGGAAGCGATCAATCAAGAGCAAATCCCAAAGTCCGGGAGCCATCAGGTGGTCCTCCTAAGCGCCCTGCTAACGTCTGTGATATATGAGCAACTACATAAGCCAAGACACACATGTGTGTACATCCATGTTCACTTTGCCAAAGAGCAAACACCACCATGTGCATTGTATGAAAGTGTATCGTCTAGTCTTTCTTCATTTTCCACCTGCCGCCATCTCAGCAACCAGTTGAGCTGCCAGCTTTCGGCCCCCATATTCGTGTCCTTTGTGCGCAATCGCCTTGGCATTCTGGCGCATCGTGATGCTCTTGTTGCCACTCAACGCCTCCAGGAATGCTTCGGCCAAGGCTGCAGCCTCCCAGTCTGGAGCAGTCTTCTTGTTGGGCCAGATGCCGACGCCAAGATACTCTGCCGTCTGTGCGTAGTTGTAATGGTCTGCCCATAGCGGAAGCACGACGCTCGGGATGCCGGCCCTGTCCGGTGTTGGATCCGTGTTAGTGGAACTTGAGAATTGTTTGCTGGACAACATTTGAGAAGTTTGATAGCAGGGCTAGGGAGACCGGAGCCAACGGTGATAGGAGAGAGATAAGGGATGGAAGCACTAAACATCGAACACTGAAGCCACTTACAGGACCGTCTCGTAGAAGCAGTTGGCACCTCCATGATGCACCGACACTGCAATATCTCCAGTGTTGTACAAAGACGTCGGATCAACATCCAGCCACATCTCCAGCCTCAGCCGACCCTCATCAACATACTTCTTCGCCGGTCCCAAGAAGTCATCGCTATACTTACTCGCCTTGCGTAGCTTCCACAGGATCTGCACATCCGTGGCATCCAACACGGCAGCAATCGCCTCCGCCATGACAACAGCCCTCGGCTCCTCATATCGGAATGCGCTACCCAAGTTGACGAGGATCGTCGGCGCCTTCTTGATCCAACCCGTCAGCTCGGCGCTCTGTGTCTCAGCCGGCGCCACGTCGAGGACCAGAGGGCCAACTATACGAAAGTTATCCGGGATGTATTCGAGGGGGTAGCCTGCTTCGGGGTAGCTCATGGCGATCCACGGAACGTCCTTTCGATACATTTCAAAGAGGTTGACGGCTTGTGGGATTCCCTTCGCCTGGAGCGAGGAGCGCTTGTTCTTGATAGCTGGAGACGTGAGGAACTTAATGATAAAGTACAGTTGCTGATACATGTTGGTCGGGATGTCTTTCCAGGGGATAGGGAAAGGAAGACCCGAAGCAATCCTGATTCCAAAATGTTAGTTGTTTCTCTCATACAACATCTAGTTACCAGTGCGAATACACTCACCCAGGATATTTCCAAAAGTGCCCTCCTAGGGGTTGTACGGCGCTCACAAGATCCACCAACGCATTCGGAGTGATGTAGGCGCGCGTTCGATTGAGGTTCACAGCAGCATCGATACTTGGTCGGAGCAATGAATCGAGAATCACAACAGCAGGATCAACCTTTTGGATAATGTCCACAGTTTGTTGATACAGACTCAAATGTGCTTCGTCTGACCATGCCGTCATGAAGAACGGGACCATCTTTGCAAACGCCTTCAGCCCAGCCATTCCCGGCGGTGTCACAATCTCCAACAAGCTGCCCATGGCCTTGATTTCGTCCACGATGCTCGGGCCCTCGAATTGGTGCCAGTGTATCTTTGCCTCCGGGTTGAATGCTTTGGCATTTTCCGAGATACGCTCAATGTCCGATGCTATGCCGGAGAAGGAAGCATAGTGTACCTCAACCGACGGGTGGTTCTCTACCAGTGCCGAGACCGTGGCCAGGTGCGCGTTGCACAGCCCGTGATGGCTGTCTGTGACGATAAGAACCGTGTTGTTGCGGCCACTGATCAACACTTCATCTTCTTGAGTAGCCTGTCTGGCAAGAAAGACACCAACGAGTGCGGCAAGGATGGCGAAGACAACCACTGCCCGCCGAAACATTTTTGCAAAATCAAAGCTGAAATCAAAACAAACAATAGCAGAAATGCGTCAAAACGCGTTCAGTCGTAGAGATTGTTGAAGAGCAATGTGTCTAGAGTTGTACTCTCTTCTTAATATAGTATTAATAGATTCATGACAAACAATTAGCTAGACACAGCAACTGTTCAGACACGAGTTGAATCCCCTGGTTTCGGACGCCACTCAGCCCCAAGTGCGCCATGATCCGAAGGAAGCGGGGTCCATTAAATGTCTCACATCTCTACTGCGTATTATCTTATCTCTCAATTGCTCCTTCAAACGCGAGTACGAAGAACCAACTTGTGCCTTGACCGCAAGACAACGATCCAAAAACGCGGCCACTTCGTAGCAATAAGGCAACAATATTCGAGTTGGTCCACTCCAATCGCTGTATTTTCTCGCGTTTCATCCTCCGAACACGCACTTGCATGCGCTTCTACTGTACGAACACGCAGCCCCCTCAAACTACGAGTGCTAGCAGCAAAATAGCATGAATCTACCGAGTACATATACGCGTATTTTGCCTGGACGGTATAAATGCCGCTGACCTTTGTCGTGTCAGCAGCACACAGGTACGCGTATTTCCGGCCATGTTTGGTAGCAATGATAGGTCATCTCATTGAACATGTTCAAACCAGCTGGCTCCAAAAGTCGTTAGCTATTACGAGCACACACTGCAATCCGTACGCGTCAGAAGCTGATTTGTTGGAGTACGGTTTGGGAGGTTCAGCTGCCGGCTATCGGCAACTTTCACGTTCAAGGTTATTTTCTCAAGGCCAACCTTTGGTTGATGCCTGGATACCCCGCGAGTTTGCCGTGCCCACGTATCATCTCCCGGCAATGCCAGCTCGGATCCGTACTCCCTACAAGTGCTGAAGCTGAAAGTCTCTATGGAAATGTCTCAATTACACGTACCGTGCCGTATGAGTGACTGCCAGGATTCATCGTGTTTATCTAGTGGAGAACCGGCACCTCATTTTAAATTACACGTCCATGTGTATCCTCGACTATGTCTCTCTACGGAGCCCGGATATCTGATTTTCCAATCCGGAGCCAGTGCCGGTCCTTGCTTGAATTTACGAGTCTCCATCAAGCTTAACATGGTAACACATTGTTGCTCGGCTTAAGCCGGTGTATCGCATTACGCTGGTTCACACTACATAGCCACGATGGCTCTGTACCCATCACCATTGGGAAAGGGGCACAATGAGAACAATGCACGTGTTTTTAAAATGACAGAATCAAGTTTCTAACTTAGTCCCTGCAAGCAAAACGCTCGCCAAAACGCCAACAGAGTCATGAACATGAATACTATCCAGGGTAGGCCGGATAGTCCTCGAACCGTCGACCATCAGCCGCACACTATTTACAGCTACCGACTAGGAAACGTAAGAAGAAGAAAACAAATGGGACAACGCTATATTCTAAATAAAGCTAGAATAGTCAAGTCCAGCCAATCCCTGTGTCTGGCGTTTTCTCATCTCCGTCACTCGAGGCTACATATCAGCCTCCTCGTTAACTGGCATGTTGGATTGAACAGCCTAAAGCCGAGCTTTATCCAAGCCTCATTGCCTACATGAGTGTTCCGTGACCGGTTTAGAAAGGGCATAGACATGCTACCCTATATGTATTGATCCTATTTTACATGCAGATGTATATGCTTTTGGCTATATTCAGCATATATCATCCTGAGTCAAGTCGTCCCATTTTGCCGCCCGACAGCCTGTTCTACAACCTCTCAGCCTAAGGAAGCTAACTACATGTACATGTATGTATGTCCGATCTCTTACAAATGACGCGACTTAAACACTCAAAGTCGACAACCCAATCATCGAGACAAGAGCACATACTCATGACCTCATCCACATCTTCACATGAAAAACGTCCAAACTTATAAATCCTCCTCAAACCCCTCAGTAACATCCAAAATCCCAATCCAGCCGCCGAAACCTCCCAATTAAGCATACTCTATCTAGATCCCTTCCGGTATTCCGTATATGCCTTCTTCCCACACAAACACAACACAGAGATACCCTTCCGCGCGTTCCGCAACGCCGCAACGGGGGTGTGTGTGGTGTCACACGCACGCAATATGTATCCTCCCCCATGCAAATAGATAGGCCAAACTTCCATTGCAACCCTTGATTTCACCGTGAAAGCCTGCATGCATGGAAAATAGGAAACAGTAATAGGTCCTACGTACATGTACAGATTTTCATCAGATTTGCTTCCGCTTCCCCCACGTACGGAAGGGGATGCCATGCCTCACAGAACCCCATCTCACATATTCACCAATCGCTGCTTGAATATATTCGATAATCTTGCTTTTCCGCCCCCAATGGTTGCCCACTCTCCAAGGGAAGGACAGATATAGTAATCACCCTCCCCCAACACGTTCGAGTGAGATTTCATATCCTGGGGCCCTCAGAACACAACCACCCATATACGTATCCCATTTTCGTTCGAGTTTCTCGGCCTCATTCAACTACTCAATACCACCTCGCCAACATGATACAAAAAAAACTCACACACCTCCTTCAAATCGCCCTCCCAGTCCTCCAACCCGACTGGTCAAAATCTCTAGATGAAGGATCGGCACCGGGGTCCGTCCTTTAATGTCAACTCTGGCTGCCATTGGAGCAATCCATTTGTTCCCGTCACAAGAGTCCTTCAATACAATATAAAACCCGCGGAACAGCTAAACAAGTGTAGAAAACGCGGCTCTCGCATCTCATTGGTACACACAACAACACGCCCGAGCTCCCAAAAACGAGCCACACCAAAACGAGAGCAAGTTACATGCAGTTATTTAGAGCGGCGGTCTCCAGAAACAATGGAACCCCAGCCTGCAGACCCCAAAAAAGACCGGCTTCGGACCCAGGGCCTCAGTTTAGTTACTACTTGTCAACTCCAGGTAGCATTGGGGGAGGGATGACTTGTTGGAGAAGGGGGAACGAGGGGGGAGTGTACATTACTCTTCTCCCTGCATCATGTACAATGTAAGAAACATGGGCAACGAAAAAGAAGAATTTCACCGAAGCACGTTGGGCAGATGAAAGAGTGTAACCCTCATCCTGGCCCGTGTGCCTGCAACTGCTACATGATGGTCGATGTTTGGTTCGTTTTTTCTCCGTAACGTGTGTATCGCTTGTGGCCAAGATGCCAACTTTGTCGATGCTACTACAAGCACATGCGCGAAGCAATCTCATCGCAATTATTCGTCCATCCCTACCCTTATGGTGAGACCACCGTTTACCAGGTACGGGCTTACTTGAGTGGTGGGTTGGTGGTTAGGTGGTATTCCATGTACGCGAGGTAAACACGGATGGAACAGCTTATGCGACGGAAAAACACTTGTTTGTTTGCTCAGCCATGGTTACAAAGTAGTATGCAGAGGTATACAGCGGACTGTGCGGGAGTTCTCTCAACAATTGAGAGCCATCTTTGCTCATTCATTGGGCGAGTCTTGCACTCAAGACTAGATTCAACCTATCAAAGAGCAGAGGCGAGGGTTTCCTTGAATCCTCGATTTGGGGTCCAGACGCGCAGGTGTGGCAGGTTGACCAAAGGACCCCATACTTGTGTCTGCCCCGGCAATATATTTGCGGTGACGGGACGCCCTCTCATACGTTACTGGTTATTTTGGCTCATGCACTCATGCACAATGTAGGATTGGGAGATTGGGAGTTACCTTGGCTCGGTCCCGAGGCAACAGAGCACCAACAAAGCACTGGCTCTCGCCGTCGTTGTGCTAGCAACTAGCAACTAGCCCTGCAACAGCAAACGGCTGGGATTGCTCGTAGTGTGGAGGGCGAGACCGTGGCGCAACAGCAGTTGGTGGTAAGATGGGTGGTAATTTCAGGGACACCACCATCTGGAGATGCAGCATCGGGTCGCCACCCCGATCAAGGCACGAAGATCCACCGTCCGCTCCCCGTCTATCGATAACTATCGCGATCCTTCTCGCGCTGCTCTTTTCATAGCATCTGCCATATCCCAGGCGACATTGGGAGACAAATAGTATCGTGACAGGGAGGGATCACCCACCATTCTCGGGGCCTCTCGGCCATTCAGCATCCCTCTCTGCCATTCTGTCTGCTCACGCTTACCTGCTCTCCGCCACTTACTCTTTTCTCTTCTTCCTTCTACCCATGGGGATGGGCCCGGGGCGTCTGAGTGGGACTCCCCTTTGTTATGCGTTGGGTAGACGGAGCATGTCGTAAATAGTACGTATATACGCCCGAGGGCACTCCGCGAGAGTTGCCGGTGCTCGGCGCCTTCTCAATAGTGCACAGGTACTCGTACGTAGCAGCAGCTTTGGCGGATACTACAGTACGATGACGAGACGGGGGGTAAAACATACGAGAATTACAGTTGGATATGACTGCAAAGTTAATAATCAGATGGCGCCAGGGGGCGTGCTCTTGAGGCTGCTTGCTTTCGGGGAGAAGCGCGGTGGTTGCTTTTGGGCGGAATGTGGGCTGCCACGATGCTTAGCGGGAGAGCCAAGATTCTGAGATGCTGGTAATCAATGAATTGCACAGGTGAGAGCTCGTCCGAACGCAGAAGTCGATCTCAGGCTTGATTTGGCTGCCGTCGCGATGGCCTCGTATGGGGTCCGCGCGCCGACTGCATGTTAGTACCGAAGGGAGTCTCCCCTCCGGATGCAGCTAACGACAAGCCACATCAGTGCCATGCGCGGTGAACTGCGGACGAACTCTCATCATCATCACACTACCAGCATTACCAGAAAGCAGGGAACAAGGCAAGCGAGCTCGGCTGCTGAGCCGGATCTGATGACTGGATGAAGAACAGCTGAAAACTCTGACTGTGATTTCCTGGTCACCGCGTCAGAATATTGGTCCCGTGATGGTAAGGTCAAAAAATTTCTTCACCCCTTCTTCCCCATAATCCCCTGTCCCCCGTACTTTAATCCCTTCATCAGATGAGCAAATACGGGGTCTAGACAATTCACGGCATGTGTCGGCCAGCAGTAGTACTTCCGCGTTGCCAGCCAATGTCTGCCTCGGTACGAACCGATACGTACCTCGCAAGGTCATTTTGGCCAATCAAAGCATGTGCTACGGCAAGGCGGCGCGGCTGAAGGATTTTCTGGTCTCAACTCGGCATGGCGTCCATGTCCCGGAAATCTCCCCTAGAGCCAGCAGAGCGAGTCCCGTAGGCGTGGGAAGGAATTTTTTTCTTCTCTTAGGTACTAACGTGACCTGAAATTTCCAGACGAGCTCCGCATTGTGGGCGGACGTGTGGGGAGTGTTTCGGTCCGGAGACGTGCATGGTGGTGAGGCATGCTAGTGTACGGAGTGCGTGCTGGGGGTGTGCCCGAGCATTGGGTTCGCCTTGTGGTGAGTTTTGTCCATCGATGACAAGCAGCTGAGCCATGATTTGGCATGCCGGCAAGGTTTTGGAGGAGCTACCAGTTGCTTGTTTCTCGTTTGCTCGGTGTATTTGGTGTTGGGCCGTAGTTTGTAGCAAGTCGTTTGATGCAGAACCGACTGTTGGCCGCTGACGAGGCAAATAGTAAGGCCGAAAGGCAGAAGCGGCTCGCGCTGCTAGCCCACTCAGCCGCGATGGATTGTACTGAAAACCGAGTTGAAGGTTTGCAGCTTCAAAGTCTCGAGAATCCTGAAACGGCGTGGCGAATTGGCCGGGCAAGTATTAGGGCCATCTACGTTTCGGCCAGAGAGATCCGAGGCAGCTGTGTCGACTCCAGCATCTAGCTCAAACCTCTCTCGTCGCGAGGTGCAGTAGCATCCCGTCGTCAGCCTCGTTGATGGGCAGATCTTGGCGTGGGCCGGCATCATCTGTCACAAACCACTCCGTATGTACGAGCACGAGAATCACACTCCCACCCGGTGTGTGAGGATTGATTGCTAGATGGATTGATTGAATGATGGAGTGCCCTTCGTGCCACTAGTAGCTCGTTATTGTCTGGTAATTCGCATGCACAACGGCGAGGCATGATCCGATCGAGGGTCATGGGCTGGGCGCGCGGTGACTGACGAGGGCTTTGGCGAGAGCACGATCCATGGATGCGCATCCCGTCGAGATCCTTACATGCACCAGTGCTTGGGACGAATCCGGTACCAACACCAGCACTAGCGATCCGGCAAACCGCCGAAGAGGCGCCCGTGATGCGATGTGATGCGGGCAACCAGAGCAGCCAGAGCACGAGGACAGCAATTGAGCGAGTATAGCATGGCGCATGACTCCGCGTATTGCCGTATATCCTTCTCAATGCTCGAGAGCTTGCTGTGCCAGAGTTCGGAGATGACTCCAGATTGCAGATTTGGGCGATGTGCAATTGGCCGCCAAGCCGCCCCTAGCTCGGTCAATTACCAGCATTTGACCAAACAGCACAGGCCTGGAGTGACTTGAGTGAGCGCTGGCAGTGGGAAGAGGGCGCTGGAAGGGCGCTGCTCCGGGCTGAGAGCCGCCCCTCCCACTCCAACCACCAAAAAATGGAGAGGGACCAAAAGGTGGAATAGCGCCGCTGAGTACGACCGAAAATTGCCCTTTGGGAGGCAGCGCCGGCGGTGGCATCTCCAGCTTTTGTTCCCCCGTCTTCCCCCACGCTGGGCCGAGTCGACTGTCAGCACGAGGCCCATGGGGAAAATAGAGTGAGTACGGGGGAGGCGTGATGGAAAAGGCCGAGAAAGATTTCGAGGTCATGCCATGCCATGCCATTCGGCCATGGAGCGACGCTTGCGGCGCGCCGTATTCAGCGACCGGTCAGCATCGATAGCTCCAGTCTGGTCGCTTGCTTGCCACTCCCACAGCACACCCAGTTGGTTGACCTGTACATGTAGTCTGGTATTATTAGCACATGCAGTTGTTGGATCGTGAGTCTGGCCAAGGTTAGTACAGAACTCATGCATGCTTGCGCGGGTGTTGGTGATGTTGTTGCTGCTTAGACTGATGTCCAGCATCATGACCATCAGACTTTTCTTTCAAGGCTCTTGTTTTTTTTTCACACCTCGACGGCAAAGGGTCCGAGCGTCTCGTCTGTCTCGCCATGCCAACGTGACATCTGACATGGGACAGCGATGATCGACGGACGGACCTCGATATTTTTTCCTTGGGGCCATAGACTACGAGGATTAGCTAATCCGGGACTTGGTGTTGGCATCGTCACCGGCGGGCATGGGCATGTCACTGGGGATTGATGGAAAGCACCACCGGCGAGCTACGAGTACAGTAGCACCTACCTTAGCATCCAGTACTGCACGCAGAAGTTCCATCGCGACTTCCATTACGGAGCCTAGCAGTCCCTATTAGCCCTTTGCAGTATGGCAAGTACTATGAATGCATGCACAAGAGAATTGAAGTGCAAGAGCCATCGACGCTAGTGCCCGAGCCGGAGCCCCTCCACCGTACCAGTAATAAGTAACTGGCAAGCCACCAGAAGAAACTGTAAGCCATCTCCAGATTCGCTGCTGAATCCAAAATACGAAGCTGATGCGCGGAGTGTGTACCCCAATTTCGAATCACCGCCAGACTATTTACCAGCAGGAGTCATGAGCAGAGCCAATTCATTGTCCCAGCCAAGCAAAAGGCCGCAGCGAGCCCCAACCGGCCCTTCTCGGCGCTTCTCTGCTTCGTCTGGCTAGGGGTCCAGCCCAGGGCCCAGCCCGCGGCCAATCAGCGCCCGCCGCCGTCTTTGGGCTGCGTCGGCGGTACTTCGTAGCTCAGAAGCCTCCGGGCCCCGCAAATCCCCATGCGGGCTTCCCCAGACGCGTCTGGCCAGCTGCGCAAATAGAGGCCAGGGGGGGCCCCTCAATCTCCTTTCGCGGCCCCTTGCCTGAGATGTGGTGCCTTGCCACAATGCCTGCTTCTCGCGTGCGGCGCCACACCCACCCCGGCCCCTTTTTCTTACTCTTTTCGGGGGTGTTGCTGTGTGTGCCTGTGGCTCAGTTTTTTTTTTCTTCGGCTCAGGTACATCTTCTTTGGCGCTGGTTGTTTACAGTCGGGCATGTACTCGTACTGCCACAGCACAGCACGGCATGGTTCCGACGTGCAAGGGCAAACCAGGTTGCAGTCAGTCAGTGTCTCGTATGTACATGCTCTCTCTCTCTGTTGGTCCAATGGATTCTGGCTTTCGGCTTGGCTCGTGATGAGGATGTGCGCCAATCACCTGTTGCTGTCCCGTCTGCCCGTCCGTGTACGTGTACGGTCCAGCCCATCACTCGGAGAATGCCGTCGAGGCAAAGCTCTGGACCTGGACCTGGACCTGACCTGATGCGAACGAGATCGGCTCGTGGCTATGGGCGGCACGACTGCACGAGATCAATACGCGCATTCAGTTGCCACTCAACTGTAAAATTTGCCTTTTAGTGAGCGCGAGTCGCTGCGGTGCCTGTAAGCTCAGCACTGCAAGGCCTTAAACTCTAGCACGCCGAGCGCTAGGCCAGACCCGAACGCTGGCCAAACGCTAGGCTGGATGCGGCGCCAGGCTAGGAGAATAGCATGTGGGTGAGGCCGAGCGCCACTCCAGGCCGTCTCTTTTTGCCTCCACCAATCCGCGATCCACCAGCCCACTGCAACCTCGTACCTAGTCGAGACGAGACGGTCCAGGAACATGAGCCGTTGCTACGAGTACCAGTAATTGCACTCGCGCAAACAACTCGAGGTACTGAAAGTATCGATGCTCATCGGCCAATCTCTCACCCCCTCCCCCCCCGGTCACTGCAAATCCAGAACCTGGAGGGGCGTGCGAAGAAGCTTCTCTCAACGCCCAAGTTTCCCCAAATCGACGGCGCCTCTCCACCATGGAGTCTCTTGGACGATGCCGCCGCCTCTTCTGGGCTCTAGGTTCTGCCTGCCTGCTTGTGACTGACTGACGGAAACTCTCTGACCGTCACGACAATAAAAAGGCCGGCCTGCCTCCTGCCCCTTCCCTCCTTCTCCTGTCTTGCCTCGTCGATCTCTGTCTCACTCAATAAGAGCTCGTTCCGTTCACTCGGCCCGGGTCATCTCCTTCTTCTTCCCATTCCTCTTCAACAACACCAAGAACTGAGAAGATTCCAATCCCCAACAAGCCAATCTTCGACGCCATGTCCGACGCCCCCGAAACCAACGCGGAGGCGCGAAAGCACTCCATCGGCATCCACACTACCCAGGATGTCGAGCACATCGAGGCTCCCATCACATGGAAGGCCTACCTCATGTGCGCCTTTGCCTCCTTTGGTGGTATCTTCTTCGGCTACGACTCCGGTTACATCAACGGTGTCAACGGCTCCGCCATCTTCTACAAGGCCGTTGAGGGCGCTGCCGCTACCAAGCTCACCGACCCCCATTCCTCCCTCATCACCTCCATTCTGTCTTGCGGTACCTTCTTCGGTGCTCTGATTGCTGGTGACGTCTCCGACTGGATCGGCCGAAAGTGGACCGTCATCATCGGCTGCTTCATCTACATGATCGGTGTCATTGTCCAGATGGTTACTTCTCCCGAGCACGCTCTTGGTCCCATTGTCGCTGGTCGTCTCATTGCCGGTCTCGGTGTCGGTTTCGAGTCTGCCATTGTCATTCTGTACATGTCTGAGATTGTAAGTTGGACAATGTTTCTCCTCCATTCCTGTCATCTCAGCTGCTAACCTGCTTGCCTCTTCCAGTGCCCCCGCAAGGTCCGTGGTGCCCTTGTCGCTGGTTACCAGTTCTGCATTACCATCGGTATCCTCCTCGCTTCTTGCGTCGTCTACGGCACCAAGGACTTCACCAACACTGGCGCCTACCGTATCCCCATCGCCATCCAGTTCCCCTGGGCTCTGATCCTCGGTGGTGGTCTCCTCTTCCTCCCCGACTCTCCCCGTTACTTCGTCAAGAAGGGTGAGATCCAGAAGGCCATCAACTCCCTGTCCCGTGTTCGTGGCCAGCCTGAGGACTCCGAGTATGTCCAGAACGAGCTTGCTGAGATTATCGCCAACGAGGAGTACGAGCGTGCTCTGATCCCCAACACCACCTGGTTCGGCTCTTGGGCCAACTGCTTCAAGGGTTCTCTGTGGACCGGCAAGTCTAACCTGCGACGAACCATCCTCGGTACCTCTCTCCAGATGATGCAGCAGTGGACCGGTGTCAACTTCATCTTCTACTACTCCACCCCCTTCCTCCAGTCCACCGGTGCCATCAGCAACTCTTTCTTGATCTCCCTCATCTTCTCCCTGGTCAACGTCTGCTCCACTCCTCTGTCTTTCTGGACCGTTGAGCGATTCGGTCGTCGTTCCATCCTCATCATTGGTGCCGGTGGTATGCTTATCTGCCAGTTCCTCGTCGCCATCATCGGTGTCACTGTCGGCTTCAACAAGACCCACCCCGACCCCAGCAACCCTGGCTCCGACCTGGCCGACAACATCTCCGCTGTCAACGCCCAGATTGCCTTCATCGCCATCTTCATCGCCTTCTTCGCCTCCACCTGGGGTCCCGGTGCCTGGATTGTCATTGGTGAAATCTTCCCTCTGCCTATCCGATCTCGTGGTGTTGCTCTGTCCACCGCTTCCAACTGGCTGTGGAACACCATCATCACCGTCATCACCCCCTACATGGTTGGTACCGATAAGGGCAACCTGAAGTCATCCGTCTTCTTCATCTGGGGAGGTCTCTGCACTTGCGCTTTCGTCTACTCCTACTTCCTCATCCCCGAGACCAAGGGCCTGTCTCTCGAGCAGGTCGACAAGATGATGGAGGAGACCACCCCCCGTACCTCTGCCAAGTGGAAGCCTACTACCACCTTCGCTGCCCAGATGGGCACTGGTGAGTACATTGAGAAGGCTGTCGCTGAGGTCTAAGCGTTTCCTGCGTCGATTTGGATAAAGGAGGTGTTCTTTTTTTTTTCTTCCCCTTTTTACTATTTCCTTTATAACGTGGTGGGGTGGATAGCTGCAGGTAATGGTCTACCTCTGCAGTTTTGTGATGAAATCATACCCGGGGCACGGCGGATGTGTCCTAAGAGATGTGTTTGACGACGGAGATGCTTTTGTAATGCGGTAGATGTGGACATAACTATTACTACTAGTTAAAAAATGTTATCCCAAGATCCAAAAAAACTCTATTCCCTTCGCGCTTTAAGGATGCGAAACGACTTTTGTCATTCTTCACAGTTCCTTTTTAGCTACCCTGTTTTACTACTACTTTATCTTAATAAGATCACATACTTGATCTACATGTTGGTTTTGTTTTCTCTTTTGTGTGTGTGTGTGGCGTGCACTTGAGGCTTTGAGACTTCTTCCCCTGTCTATGGTTGCATGGCCTGTTTGAATTTTGCATACTGGGTTTCCCTTTGGCTGGCTTCCCTTGAATTCTTCCTTTACCTGTTTTGTGCAGTGCTAGCAGCATTCCCTGCAAAACGCAGCTGATGTGAGATTTTTTTTCTCTCGGTTCTCGGTACCCCCATGCGTGAAACTCGACCAATCACTTTGGGCGTGGTGCGTACCACGAACAAGGAGGGAGAGACGCTTCGCCTCATGACTGGATTTGGTAATTGGGATTATTGAAGGGAGAGGGGGTGGAGGGTGTGATTTAGTTTGGGTTGGAGTTGATGTTACGTTGTGCTTTGGTTGTGGTGCTTGGGGACGTTGATGCGATGGATGTTGTGGGTGAGTTTGTTGACTTAGCCATGCTTGTATGGTTTGCGTTGGTATATGGTATTGATTTTTGGGCTTACTGAAAAAGGGATTGATGTATTTTCCTATTTGGGTAGTTGATAGGCTGCTTGTATAGCAAACAGGGGTGTTATTCATGTGCATAATGATGACTGTCTGCTTAATGTGATGTGTTTACGTTGGATACTAAAGTTGTGTAAGAAGGGCATGAGCAGTCAAACTGGCTGAATATACGCAGCCTTGTATGAACACTCTGACTTGATTTGATTGTTTTCCCTCTTGCAAAGACCATTCCATGTACTAACAGTCAACCGTGATAGGGGGGTATCTTGGGTATTATATCTTATCGTGACGACTTTCATGAATACAAACAAAAGTAGAACCAACCATCCCTGTACTCGATAACCCGCAAGCAGTATTACAGCAAAAAAAGAACCTTATACCTTCACCCTCAGTTGTTACTCCTGCTCGCACCGGAAGCAGCCTGACCTCGGGGCTCAGGCACTTCACTCGTATCGCTCGTCTCGCTCACCGAAGCCACCGGCCCCTGCAAGATATTCTCCGTGCTCTTCTCGCTCCCGTTCTCTCCACCGGCGGTACTGCCCAAGGGCCTCATGCCGCTCTTCGTCGCCCGCCACGACTGCAGTGCATAAGGGCCCTCAGCGCCGGGCCTGGCGGGCGTGTTGCCGCTGCTGCCACCGCTGCGCGTCTTCTCGGAGAAGTACGTGACGAGGGGCGCGAGCGTGGGCACGCATGCAATGATGATACCGACGGCTGTCTCGACAATGGACCACTTGATGGCTTCGGCGGAGTCGAGGTAGTTGGAGAGGTTGCTGATGGTTTGGATGCGGATGATTTGGACAATGGTGACGAAGAGACCCAAGGCGAAGAGACATAGGAGGGCGATTTTGCGACGGATCTTCATCTGGAGCTTGAGGAGGACGGGAAAGGGGAGGACGAGCCTGGCCAACACAGGTTAGGAGACATGTATGTCGAAGGTATAGAAAGAAAAGCGAGAAACTTACGTGATTACGTCAAAGATGATCGTCAAAGACGAGAATGTGAGGTAAAAGGGAACCGCATCAGCACAATGGCCGGGCACCAGAGGCTCCCATTGCTTCTGGACCTAATTATACAAGATCATCAGGATATATTCGTTGCCATTTTCACCCCTAACATAGACGGCATCTTGAAAAAAGGGGGTTTGTGTTTTAGGATGTTGGTCATACCGGAATACACAGGAACAAGAAAACCAGCATAAAGGCTATATGTGCCATTGTAACAATCGCGGCAATCGAGATGGGCAACAGTCGGTACGTCCCAGGTACCAAACGGACGTAGGATACGAGCAGACTGGTCTTGAAGCCCCAAATGCCGAGAACATAGCTAGTTAGACAAAAGAGTTGTGAGCCAACAGTATCCCTCACGAGGGGGGCCGAAAGAGGAGTTTGCTTACAACGGCGCGCCGATATATTGCGTCTAGAAGGATTTAATGATTCATTCATGGAAACGATGGGAAGAAAGGACAGGGGTGAAAGTACTTTGCCAAAGTTGAGGACATTTTCGTCCGGCATGGTATCGAGTTCAATCAGCCCGAGGCCCCATTTCGTTTCTGCAGAGCAGTTTAGCAATTGATCCTGTCAAACCAGAACATTCGACTGGGTTGGGTAATGGGATAGACATACGGACGACAGTTGCTGAAGTGTACCCGCAGGCTCCAATCTGTTTCCAATCCCAATTCGAGTCAGTGGACCAGCCAGTAGACGAGAGTTTTCCTTCGAAACCACCCGGACGAGGTTAATCGAAAGGAAACGTTCAATCGGTCGCATACCCAGCTAGCAATGATCAACCAGTCATCTGTGTGTCTTTAGTTAGCATCTGACCTATCGGATCCCACAAGAGAGCCGAGAAACGAAGCCGCAGTGACGATCGCCAAGGGCCCCTTTCAGATACGTACCCAGACCGACCGCCTTTGTAATCCTCGTTCTGACATAGATCCTCAGACACAGCGCGACAAGAGCCAGCGCCGTCACAGACAGTGCAACGGCAACAATGGTTGGCCCATTGTTCGGCGTACCGTCAGGCGTATTGTACGCCCACGCCATGGCTTTCTCCTGACCAAACTTCAAAGAAGCTCGGGAAGCCCGCCAGACGCCTGAGAACACAGAGGTGATAGTAGTAGAAGTAGGGGACTCTTGGTTTTTACATAACGCATGAAAAAAAGGGAAAAAGTTATTAATAGTAAGAAATGAGAAGCAAGTAATTCAAATCCAGATTGTCGAGCTGCCGGAACAGGGAGGAGAACGAGGGCGAGAAGGGGGCCCGTCTGTGCCGCACGGGGAGATCCCCAGGATATTATACTCTGCCTCACCCAAGAGAAGTCCAGATCCAACTGTTAATGAAACGCAACTTGTCAAGAGCCGCCAGCTGAAGATGCATCGTGGACTCCTGACGGAGTCGGTTCCGGCGAAGGTGGCTTGCAGCTAGACAGGTTTAAAGCAGCAGGGAAGGGAAGAAGACGGGAAACAATGGAGGACGCAGACAAAGTGAAAATCACCCAGCAGTAGTCCCAATGTCACCTAGGCCTGCGTCCAATTCCCCAAACAAGTTGGAGTGAGAAAAAATGAAAAGGAAAATGGAGGGCTGACAAGGGATGTCGACTGCCGACCCAGAGAGAGAGCCTGTCAATGCCGCATGTCATTTTCCAAGGCTCTGGAACCCCCGATCCATGCTTCTTTTTCCCTTCTTGCACTCCCTGTCACGGTGCCGCGTAAGGAAAGAAAACCGCCCGCCTCATTGCTACTGTTCGCTGTTGCCCCCGTATTGGATTGGCCTCTCTATACTCTAGCCTATTCGTTTTGTGCTAGCACTGCGACATTAGCTTCTAAGCGGAGAGAGCCGGACATCTTACAGGTTCACACACGCCTGGGCCTGACAAGTCTCCTGTCCTGTACGTCGTACTGCGACCTGTATACCTGTCCTCTCTCATTGCCCGTGCCTCAGGGCATAAGCGAATAGTCGAGATGAGAGGTACTCCACGTAGAACAGCGTTCTCCCCTGTGTTACGGACGCATCTACAAGCAATGCAGCTCTCACCTGCTTTCGTCTTTCTTTCCTATTTACGACGTACGACGTACCAATCCGTCCTTTCGTCTCCTCCGTGCAGGCTTCCAACGGGCGTAGCAGCCGTATTCCACGAATCCGAGGTCCTTGGGAGGGTAGCATTCTTGCACGTAATAGGTAAGAGAGAAAAACAGGGCCATGGCACCTGTAGGGGTCGCCCCGACCGGCAGCTGGCCCATTCGGAGATGACTGGTTTTGATTCTACGCATACATGGGGAGCTGGTTCGCCGATGAAAGCTGCATTTATGCGACCAGGGATAGCTGCAGTGACGACAGCTTAGTCAGAACGTCGAGGTGATGCATCGCCTGACGAATTTTGTGAGATCTGATCTGCTGGCCATGATGCCATTCAACATGAAGCATAGCCTTGCGCAGAAAAAAGAGCTATTGTTTAGCCCAGTCTCCTACAGGAGAAGCGTGATCACTGCATTCATGCTGCTTACCAAGAATTCGTCCGCTCCCCAGACGGGGGGTTTTCAGCTTTGAGGCTTCTTCGTGCGTCTTCAGTCACTTGGGCTTCGGACGAATGTGTCTTTTCCCCATCTTTTCCGTACCCCTGGTCGACCGGAACTCCGCTTTCAAGAGCCGGCAGCCACAGCGCGGTCTTATCCAAGAAGAGTCGTAGTTCAGAGTAGTCGTTGTTGGCGGCGGGAGGATACGGTTCCGCCAACGGTAGATCGCCAGAGGTGGGGGATAGTAGTGAGAGTAGGACCCAAGGCCGAATAAATGATCATTGAACCGATATTCGACGATCCAAGCAGCCGTCATTTAACGTGCTTTTCTGTGCCCTTTTGTGTACGGCACGAGTGCCGTTGCCATAATACGACATAACAAGACCTGGGGGCCTTTGTCCCTGAACTACATCCCTGTCCACATGCAGGAGAGACCTCCAGCTTGTTAATCTTTGCCTAATTTGATCGAGCAGAATTCTCTCATTTGCACTAGGGATCTTTCAAGGAGCAGAAGCAAAGCACTAGGAAAGTTCCGCAGTAGTGCTAGACCGCGGCCCGCGCAGCATCCCAACACGACAGCTTCTAGAGCGACGGTGAGAAGAGGGGAATGTAGCACCGCTACCTCTGCGGGTAGGTTCGAGATCGAGGTCCAGACTCAAGAACTCACCGGAAATTTTCTTCATCGTCCGCGTCAACTGCCGGTCCTGGGGCGAATAGCGAAATTTTCGAATACCACCTCACAGCTCGCATTGAAGGCCCAAGCAAAATCGGCAACATGTTTGACACATGAAAAAGAGACAACGAAACGAAGCAGAACCCCCGCATAGACTGGGTACTAAAGGAAGACGTGGCCCCAGCTCCTTCTTCAGCTGTTTCTTCAGCTCTTTCTCTCTACTTCTCTCTCCTCTGCCCTAAATGTGAGCTCCCTTGTCTTTAGCCTAGCCAATGATGCTTTCTCCGCCGGGTTACTCGGGTCACGTTCTCATCAGTACGCCGAGAAAGGCGGTCTTGCTCCCCAGCTTACCTTGAAAGAGGGGGCCTTGAGTCCAAGCGAGCAACTGAACAGAGCAGCGGCCGCGGGCTTGGCAACGTGGGATCTGAGGCCCGCGCATCGAGGTCTTTTGATTAGCATCTCGACTATCGACTGATGAGGCGGCCGTAAAGAGCAGTAGAATGATTAGACCGGCACGTGGAATGCCGAGATGGGCGTATGCAGGCCAAGATCGATGGACCTCTAAATCGTGGCAAAGTGTCGATAAAAGTCCACAGATCCGCGCATCTCGCCGAATGTGTAGCTCAGACTCCTCAGCTTCTCTTTCCCCTCTCGCCACACGGAGCACATCCGGGATCCTAAGATGCATTGCAGTAACCTAGGTTCTGCGCTTTTGGCTATTGCGAGCCTTGCAGGCTTCGCCAACTGTGCGCCCGCAACCTCGTCTACATCAACCTCGTCATGCAAATGCTTCCCTGGCGATGCATGCTGGCCCAGTAGCAGTGATTGGGCCGCGTTCAACAAGACTGTTGATGGGCGTCTGATTGCGACGGTTCCTCTGGGATCACCCTGCCACGGTGCATCCTACAATGAGACTGAGTGCCAGTTTCTGCAGGACAATTGGCTGTTCTCTCCAATCCAGTAAGTGGTATATGCATGAGAGACGCTCTTCTTGTTTTGCTCTTCTCTTGTCTAGCTTCCCCGGATGCACGTGTACCGCTTGCCAGTGACATCGTCTGACAAAGAATCTGTTAGCTACAACTCGTCGTCGTCGGTCATGGCGCCGTTGTTCGCGAATGCGAGCTGCGACCCATTCCAACCGGCTGACACGCCTTGCACTCTCGGCAATTATGTGCGATATGCGGTCAATGTGTCAACGGCTGCTCATGTCACAGCAACGCTTAAATTCGCGGCGCAGCGCAACATCCGCTTCGTCATCCGCAACACGGGACATGACTATAACGGCCGCTCAACTGGTGCTGGCGCCCTCTCTGTTTGGACTCATTATCTCAAGGACACCGAGGTTTTGGACTGGAGCGATAAGTATTACACCGGCAAGGCCCTCAAGATTGGGGCTGGTATCCAGGGCTTTGAAGCTCTCGAGGCAGCACACGCAGCTGGGTTAATTGTAGTGACGGGAGAATGCCCTAGTGTTGGCATTGCTGGAGGATACGTCCAAGGAGGCGGTCACTCTGCTCTCAGCACCATTTATGGCCTGGCAGCCGACAATGCCCTCTCATATGATGTCGTGACTCCCAACGGAACGCTCGTGACTGCCACCCGGACTCAGTATAATGATCTTTACTGGGCATTGAGCGGCGGCGGCGGCGGCAACTATGGTGTTGTAGTGTCCATGGTTTTCCAAGCCCATCCTGACAACATTGTCAGCGGCTCCAAGTTCGCCGTTGACACCACTTCCAATGAGACACTGTACGCCGTCATTGACGCCTTCCACGCCGCTCTGCCAGCCATTGTGGATTCGGGTGTCATGATCATCTACTTCTTCGGCCCAGGATTCTTCCAGGTGCCTGCCATGACGGCATACGGCAAGACGCAAGACGAGGTTGAAGCCATCCTGAAGCCTTTTGTTGACGCTCTGGCGGCACTCAACATCGACCTGGCGCCCACATACACGCAGTTCTCCAGCTACTTTGATCACTTCCAGAACTATTGGGGCCCGCTTCCCGCTGGCAACATCCAGGTCGGCACGGACCTGTTTGGTGGCCGACTGATTCCCCGCTCCGTGCTGCCGAATTTCTCTCCGACAGCGCAGAAGCTAGTTGAGCTCGGCGTGACCTTTATCGGTGTCGGGCTCAACGTTTCTCACTTTGGCGGCGGCAATGCCAACGCCGTGCTGCCGCAGTGGCGATCGTCCATTGTAGAGGTCTCGCTGACACTGCCGTACAGCTTCCAGGTTCCTTTCCAGGACATGATTGCCACGCAGGACACCATCACCAACGTTGTCCAGCCCGTCATCGAGGCAGCTACGCCCGGTGCCGGTGCCTACATGAACGAGGCTGACTTTCAGCAGCCAGACTTCCAGGAAACCTTCTTCGGCGCCAACTATCCACAGCTGCTCAAGATTAAGCAAAAGTATGACCCCACGGGTCTGCTGTATGCGAGGGCCGCCGTGGGTAGCGAGGCTTGGACCGTTGCGGAGAATGGCCGGATGTGCAGAACTCAGTCATGATTTGTTGAGTTTAATTGATTAGTTGTAGTAGTAACAGTAGTAGTGTTTAGTTGAATGGCTCATGAAGATGATTAGTTCATGTTGATTCAAGAGATGAAGTGCCATTTGGAATGGTGTTGTGCACGTGTAGATTAGCAGATATGCAGATTGTGGCAGGTACGCGGAACCAGCTCAGCTGAGCTCGGGACTATTGAAATAACGGATTACTAAGCTGCGACTATGCTGGCCTTGTATTCGCAGTAAATGCCCGACTTTTACTCCTTCAAGGACTATCTGGAGCCGCATCTCCGGTATTGATTGATCTTTCGGTATAAGATGCACATGCGCATAGTATTACCAGTAGTAGTTGAGACGCAGATAAGCACAGATGTCCGTGGATCACTTACAGCTCTGGATCGTGGGGTGAGATCCAGCCTATCAGCAGCGGCTTCGGCTACCGCGCTTGTGTGATTAGCGGGCTGTAATGCATCATCTCGATCGGCGCATCTGCTGGACAAGCACACGCAGACAAACACTCCGGAGTATTAATTCACTTGGGTCATTTGCAGCGGGAATACAGAGCATCTGCACATGCATCCTCTGCTCCGTAGCGTCTTGGGTTTTCCACTGTATTGGCATCAGCACGGAGTAATACTATGTATAGGTAGGTATGGATGTAACATTGGTGCATATTAGACGACGGATGCTGTTTCGAGTAACCTTACAAAGCATCTGCAACTTCTCGTATCAGCAGACCTTCCGATGCACCAAGTAATTGTATCTGTACAGGATCTTCTCAAGGATTGACATTTGCCATTTTCGTATTACTACTCCGTTGATTTGTCTGGTACTTGCTATTTGATACCCGTAATACCCGAAGCTGAAAACGGGCTTGGCGGCTTAAAAGACGACGGGCCATTTCCTGCTTCTTTTTTAAGCTCGCATATACACGACGGAAGTTTGACGCATCAATTACTCCGAAGAACCCATGCCGTCAAATCACGGATCTTGCCCCTCGTCGCAGCCGTTCAACCGTTGCGTCTCCAAGAGCTCAGAGTTTTGCGCCGTCTTCCGAAGCCTTTAGCACATTGTCGCTCTTTGTAGTCGGGATTTATAGCACCGTGCTGTTCAGGGTCTTGGCTCGATCGGGTTATTCGCAGAAAAAAACGGACAAGGTTCCGGTTTCTCCGTCTCTGTTCCGAGCATAGTTCCAAGACGTGATATCCAACGCCACCTGATAATAAATACTTATCTTTCACCCTCCTGCAAAACCAACCATGCCTCTCTACCGCCGTCCTTGAATTACACTCTCCGGCTCTGTTTGCCGACCGTCGCCGCTAAATGGGTGCCTCAACACCGCTGTCGCAGGTTCTGCCTCCCCTGATCCTGGGGACGGCTACCTTCAACCACCAGTATCACCCCGATCCCTCACGCATGCCCTACGTCGATATTGTGCGGAGAGCCCTCGAGCACGGAATCAATGCCTTTGACACCTCGCCTTACTACGGCCCTTCCGAGATCCTGCTGGGCCAGGCGCTGCGACTCTTGACCCCGCCCCCGCCACGAGAGGGATATTTCCTCATCACCAAAGCTGGCCGCATCAAGTCGGACGAATTCGACTACTCACCAGCGTGGGTGCGATACAGCGTCTGCCGTAGCTTAGAGCGTCTAGGAACGCGGTACCTGGACCTGGTCTACATGCACGATGTCGAGTTTGTGTCTGCCGCCGAGGTCCTGCAGGCTGTCAAGGAGCTGCGCCGCCTGCGCGACCAGGGACTGATTCGCTATGTTGGTATCAGCGGATATCCCGTCGACACTCTTGCATCGCTAGCGGAGATGATACTGAGAGAGACAGGCGAGCCTCTGGATGCAATTCTTTCCTACGGCAACTTCTGCCTGCAAAACACTCAGCTTGGACGCCCCGACTTTTTGCAACGATTCCAGGCTGCTAGGGTTGAGTGTCTGCTCAACGCAAGCATACTCAACATGGGCCTCCTGACGACTCGTGGAGTTGACAACGGTCCTATGGTCTCTTGGCACCCCTCGCCGCCGGAGCTGCGCAAGGTCTGTGCCAAGCTGTCACAAATCGCACAGGATAACGGCGAGCACCTTGAGGGGGTGGCTATCCGGTGGGCTCTGGAAAATTGGGCTCGCGCAGGAAAGGACTTTGGCACAACGGCATATGTCGGGGCTGGACCTCGCATCGGTGCAAGCGTTATGGGAGTCACGGCTATTACAGAGCTCGACGAGACTTGGGATCTGTGGAGAAGCGTCATTGGCCCTGTCATTGGCACCAAGGACGAAGCCGCAACACAGAAGAGCAACAAGATTAAGAGGCTTGTCGAAGACAAGATGTGGCCCACCCTGGGCTCATGGAAGGATCACGCCTGGGAGAGCGGCGGCGAAACATTTGTCAATGCTAGAGTGACACCTGGACAGATTCCTAACGACGAGGTGGCTGAGAGATGGGGACTGGTTCCTTCAGCAGCGGTTGTTGCCAAGTTGTAACGCACAACGCCTAATATCATAGACCAGCATGTTTTTTTTTTCATCTTCATCTTTTTCTTCTTGTTTGATTCTCGGATAAATTTCCTACAAAGTACATACATGCCGTCGCTATAAATGAAATCGCATATATGAGAAGAGCGCACAGTTGAGAAACAAGTGACATTAACGTTTTACCCATTTTTTGATACTAACATGGGTAATGTCTATAACAAAAAGTCTTGCCACCGTGACATATCACGACAAAGATAACCTCTAGGTGGAAGCACGTCGATTGAGATTGGCGAGATACCAAGTAACTGCCTATCTAGGCTATACGGAAGAAGAAGCTGCGGAATGTTGACGTTGGATTCAGCCGAGACAAAAGCTAATGCTTGTAACAGATTTTATCTCACTATTGATGTCTTCGTATTACCGCTGATCCAGCGGCAGTCATGCATGGCCAAGTCGCATTAGAGTGTGCATCTGTTTAGCCTGCCTAAGTGTAATACTACATGGATGGCCATCCTCTAATCCTCCGATCCTCCGATCCTTCGGCTATACATAGCAGCAGCTCCAAAGATGTAAGCGGGTCGTCGGCCTTCTAATGCAAGACATGCTTCCAGATAAGAGGATTCCATATCAATGAGTCCCAGTCAATATGCGTGTAAAGCATCAATTTGTTGAGCTCCCTCCAGATACTGTACGACCTAATTGCTTCGTATACACCAGATATGGAATCGACTCTTGCATCTCGGCCCCTCAAAATCTTTTTGCGTGGCCTACTCATCTTGGTGGCTGGGCTGGTTGCCAGATTTCTGTATCGTGGATACAAAGTCAGGAGGCATGTCCGGCAGTTGCAAGCTCAGGGAATTGTACATACGTGAAATTTAACACTCTCATCGCGGTAGATACTGACCGGCTCGCAGCCCACTCTCCCACATTCCCTCTTGTTTGGACATATTCCAATTCTCCTCAAGTTCCGGAAGCATCACCCTGAAGATGTCCATTTCGGCATCATCATGAAATGGCTTGTAGATAACTGCAACCAGTGGATTCCAGACTTGAAACGCCCTCCTCCAGTGCTGTACCTTGACATATGGCCCGTCTTCCCGGACGTCATGATGATGGTCTTTGACGGCAGCATGTCGGCGCAGTTTACGCAGGCTAGAAGCTTGCCTAAGCACCATATTACTCGGACGTTCCTTGAGCCGTTGACGGATAACCTCGACATGACCTCTGCTGACGGCAGTCAGTCGAAGGTGTGGAGGTCGCGGTTCAACCCGAGCTTCAGTCCGAGAAACATCACCATGCTCATTCCCGAGCTCATCGATGAGATCATGGTCTTCAAAGACTTGCTTGGGAAAATGGCTGGGCCAAGCGGACAATGGGGTGACGTCTTTCAGCTGGAGGAGCGCACCACAAGCCTTACTTTCGACGTAATTCTTCGTGCAACAATGTAATAAATCCTTCTAAAGATTAATCTTGCTTGTACTTACACGCCACCTAGGGATGAAAGACTGCATGAGCAGATAAATGCACAGGGCAGTCCACTCAAGCAAGCCCTCATCAGCCAGATACGATTGATGAGCAAAGTCCTCGGCGTGAACCGCATCCTAGGCATCAAACGATGGCCGTGGGAAGCCTGGACCAGACAACGCAACAACGAAGCATTACGCAAGGCTCTGCTGGGCCGCGTGGAAGCCATCATAAAGTCACCTCATCTCGCTGATGCTGTCAGCGAGAAGAAGACTATCCTAAACATAGCTCTGAGTCGCACGCTTGCCGAAACCGGCGGCGAAACTCCCGATCAACGGTCAGTCGATGCCATTCTAGCTAATCTCAAGCTTTTCTTGTTTGCGGGCCACGATACGACATCGTCAACCATCTGCTGGATGTTCAAGCTACTCCAGGACAACCCCAACTGCCTCGCCAAGCTCCGCGAAGAGCTTAACAGTGTTCTTGGAGAAGACGTCACCCAAGCTGCCAGTTTATTACGGGACTCGCCTCAGCTTCTGAACAATCTAGTGTACACCAATGGCGTCGTCAAAGAAGCTCTCCGCTTCTACCCGCTCGCATCAACTGTGCGCCAGGGCGAAAGAGATTTCTTCCTCGCTGTGTCCGGGTCTGATATGAGATACCCGACGGAGGGCACCGCCATCCATGACGTGCCGTCCGTCATTCAGCTTGACGAACACGTTTGGCCGCGCGCAAACGAGTTTCTCCCGGAACGCTGGATCGCGGCCCAAGGCGACCCTATGCACCCCAACAAGGATGCCTGGAGGCCGTTCTCCATGGGGCCGAGGAATTGCATCGGACAAGAGCTGGCCATGGTGGAAATAAAATTGGTGGCTGCATTAGTGTGCAGGGAATTTGACATCCAAGAGGCTTGGGACAAGTGGGATATGAAACAAGGATCGATGAAACCCAAAGAGACGGTTGATGGACAGAGACTCTATGGATGTGGGCAAACTGTCCAACATCCAAAAGACGGAATGCCGGTGCATGTCAGACGACTTTATGCTTGAATAAACATTGCTTCACGTAACAGAATCGGAATGCTCCGAATATGTCGGATTGCGGTGAAACATCGGATTGAACCGATGAAGTCGGATCAAAGCCGTAACCGCAATCATCATGATCTCTACTCGATTATAAAATTATCGACACGTCCTAATACATGTCTCAAAGTAAAAAAAGCAACCTGAATTCGAATTTGCTCTCTACTTTAAAGTGATTGTTGATCGCCTTCTTATTGTGCTTCCCTGGACATAAACGCAATGGCTACCACCACGGCTCCACATGTTATTATTATTGGTTCCGGAATCACTGGCCTCCTGATAGCACAAGGCCTCAAAAAGGTAATATGCGATTTTATGCTTCCATCTATGCAGTCAGAATCCCAGGATTAACCTCTAACTCTAATACACAGAGAGGAATATCTTTCGCTGTTTACGACAAGGTGGACCCGGCCACTCGTACTCGAGACTGGAGTATGACCATATTCTGGTCTTTCCGACACTACCCTGCCCTGCTATCTGAAGAGCTTAATAATCGTATCAATGAGGCACAGTCAAAAGTATACTATAACCCGACAGCAGTTGAAGAATTGGTTGTTAAGAATGCCAAGACTGGCGACGTATTGGCAAGAGTGAACTCTCCTTTTGCCAGGAGAGTCAACAGAGTGGGCATGAGAAAGCTTTTGCTCAACGGAGTCAAGGTTCAGGTATATTTTAATCTTCTGGAACTTCATATGGCACACCGTGAGAATATGAAAATTAACCAGCTGCCAGTACGACCGCGAACTCGTTGGCGTTGAATATACCACTGATGGCGTTGTCGCCCGTTTCAAAAACGGGACATTTGAGAAGGGTACCATGATTGTTGGTGCTGAGGGCGGACAGTCTTTTATACGGCGCATGCTTCTTGGTGACCTCGCCTTGCCAGAGACATATCCAGACGTTGAAATGATAAACATCAACGCTAGATATACTCATGAGCAAGGGAAGTATATTGCAGAGAATGTAGTGCCACACGTTGATTATGGAGTTCATCCTAAGGGAATATTCTTTATTATCCTTGGTAAGATACTTGGCCCTCTTTGAAGAGTCAACACTAACTTTTACATCCAGTCATGCGTGTTGAAGAAAAAGATGATTACTCTACATGGACATTCCATTTTGTCATTACATATCCCAAAACTCTCACCGGCACACCATTGAAGGGCAAAAGCAATGCTGAGCGTGTTGCTATTCTGAGGTCCATTGCAGATAACTTTGCAGAGCCCAGACGATCAGCCTTAATGTGGCTGCCAGATGACTTGGAAGTCCCCGATGACTCTATCAAGATGTGGAGTCCAGAGCCGTGGGACAATCAAGATGGCCGAGTTACGTTGGCTGGAGATGCAGCGCACGCAATTGCATTCTGTAAGTGATACAGTTGTCTCTCACTAGTTGCACCGAAAGGAAAAACTGACTTGTTGTAAAAGATCGTGGACAAGGTCTGAACAACGCAACTGCCGACGCCGCAAACCTCGTTTCTGCTATAGAGAAAGCTGCTACTGGTGAATCGACACTGGCGGATGCCATAACTGAGTATGATAAAGAGGTCGTCGCTCGGGGACAAGAAGAAGTTAGACTGTCTCGAGAACTAGCTCTATCAATGGAGCACTGGGAGAAATTCTTGGAAAGCCCCATCATCAAATACGGCGGGAATATTCCGAAAGAAATGTCGAAGTGAAAGTCTTTATAGGAAATAGGAAAGTTGCTGAGTTGAGATAGCTTTGTTGGAGGTAGCATTAGTTGTAGTTAGAGATTCAACATCTCCATCGTGGTATGATACTTGTCGTTATCAGTTATATTTAATTCTTTCCTAATCATATTGATTTAGAATCTAAGCAAAATCTAGATCAGCCCACATGGGTCCCAGTTGATATTCCGGTAACAGAAAATGAGAAAGATCAGCATCACCATTGATATCCTGAAATAAGCTGACGTCAAAGTTGTCGAGAAGCGGATTAGGAGCATCGGAAGGCGTCATAGGCAGGAGGCCAAGTCGGCGACAGAGCGAAATGACCTTTGCATATTGATGCTCTGATGTCTTTGAAGATGCAGCGGTCGACTTGAGGAGATCTAATGCGGCTGTAACGAATTCACGTGCCTTGGCGAGGGTAGCACCATCAACCTTTCCCGTAGCGAGAGCCGATTTCTCTTGAGCCAATACACCTAACACCGCCCCAAGCGCCGTGATTAGGAAGTAGTTGTACTGCGTTTGTTGCATTTTGTATATGTCGGTTTCACCAAATAAGTCTAACAGGATCTGAAAACTGTCGTATGCGATGTTAACAGCCATCGCCCACAAGTCCGAGTTGGTAGCCTCTTGCAATTGGAGAGAGTAGAGTGCAGGGCGAATTAGTACGAGGCGTAGTTGATTTGCCCTCAAGTAGAGCAGAGTGTGAAAATGACGGATCTTTTTAGCATCAGGTTCCCTGTTGTTAGGATCCAACACTTTGGGAACATGTTTCTCTTGCCATTGGTTGAGATGATCTTGAAAGAAATCGAATGATTCCCGCCATTCTTGCGCGTAATGTGACGAGCCACCAAAGACATTAGAGATGGATTCGCAGATTCTGGAACCCAGACGACAGTAATCGATCATGGCTATTAAATAAGGGGAGTCATCCTAAATTTTGTGACAATGAGTAGTGCTCTTTCACTTTTGAAAGAGAGTGAAAGATAGAAAGTTGTGCAGTACGTACCGGCAATGGAATGCTATTGTCAATGTCTTTGTCTTGAATATGTCTTGGTAGCCCCAACGAATAACTGAGCTGGCAATCGAGAACAAAGGCCGTCCAAAACAAGTTGATTGCCAATTTATATGAACTTGGCTCCTTAAACATGCTCATAAGCACTTTGCTTTTATGTAGCCCAAACTCCAGGATCAGACGAGTGAGATTGCCAACAATACGCCAAGCGAGCCTCGAGTTGCCCTTAATTGAATGATATATACTCTGTTTCAAAATTAGCACCAGTTGAAAAGGGGCATATAGAGTTCAATACGTACAACTAATATTAGTACGTGTAAGTCGCCGATTTCTGCAGTAGCAGCCCATATCGTATTGTCTACATCGCGCTGTATGCTTGCATGGAATTTGGCGGCTGCGGCCTCATGACTGCTGTCCTGTATAATCATGGCAATAGCAAACACCATCTTGATGATATTGAGGTCACTGCGACTCATTCGATTCACCAAGATATCTCGGACGGATGAATGTGGCTCTGCTGCCAGAGCAGGATAGAGTTCCCTCACATGTTGCATCAAAACACCGATAGTTAAGATAGGGTGTGTCACGCCCACGAAGCTATCATAAAGGTGTACAAGATGGACCGCCATGTCTGCATCTATTTCCTCCAAGGTGTTGAAAGGCAATCCAGGCTGGGGGCTTGCCGCCGCTGGCGTTGAGAGATTATCAATGTCCTGATCGCTGAAATCGTTTCGAATATCTTCGTAACTACTTTCGACAATAATCTCTCCATCCAGTGTCGAGTATGTCTCTCGATCTGTGCTCTCTATTCCGCTGCCTATCATTCCCACTGCAGACATATAAAAGGTCATGCCGGAAGGACCACGGAAAAATGGAAGTAAGTGCTTGTAAGACATGGCCACGGAGTACTGTTCAGCGTTAAGAGGGATATGCTCCTCAGGCTCTCCGATGAGCCTCTTATTCAATACTCTGCTATTGTCCTCGGTCCTCTGAAGGAGCAAATCAAGTTTTTCTGACTGAGCTTGAATCATTTTCGTCAAATCCAAAGCCAAGGCAGCGTTCCTAGATTAGTTGAGATCTCTTATTAGTATATAACCGTCATGAACTGGACAATGGGCTGAATCAGCCGTGATATTGAGACAAACCAAGTAGAAGGAGGTTCCCTGTGACTGGATGCTTCGGCCGGAATATCTACTTCGCCATTGTTGGTATAAACAGCGCCGACGTTATGCAATTCTGTCATAACAGAGTGCCGCAATTTATATAAACATTCTTCCGGCCGCCTCTTTTCGCATTTATCGCATGGTTTCTTGCCATTGCATCGAATCTTTTGCTGTTTACATCGCTCACAGGCTTGAAACACGTATCGCTTGCGCTTCCGAGCGAGCCGGTTAGCATTGGATTGAGGAGGAGACAATGATCGATTTGCACGGTTCTCCATAATGTAATTAAGATATAATAGAGCTTATGATAAGTACCAATAGTAGAGTTGACTTCCTTTTAGTACGTCCTGGATGAGTATAGAGTAAGGTTTAGCTCAATGTTAAATACTAGCTAGTAATAGAGGATTTGTCGATTCTTAATAAGTCTCCTATTCGTATATGACCATCTCATGACAAAGCTTAAGCGGGGTAATATGGAGCTAATTACATAGCATGAATATGTCGGATAGACAGGGTATTTTATTGGATGACGATGTTACTTTGATCGGTGGTACAGCGTTGCAGGCGGTACGGGCATATGAGGTTGCATTTGGATTTTACCGAGTAATCGTGGAGGTGGCGTCAAAGGGGCCTCCTTTTCTTCTTCAATTTTATTCTAGGCGAAATATATTGTCAATGACCTGTAGAATAATTCGAGTTACCAACATGGCTCCAGTTACCGCAGTTACTTTTCTTATTCCTGTCTGGACAAGGTTCTATGTTGTTTCAGCGACCGTTATCTCACTGGTGATATAATATCAATGTTTTGTGTAATGTTAATATCCCATATTGGATTTTTATTGCATCTTCATAATGATCTAAACGGATCTGTAAACCTTTATACTCTTCGCCTCCTGAATAAGCAAAACAATAACACAAGATAAAGTCCAGCAATTTGATGACTACTGCTTCCTCCTCCTCACAGTGAGCTTGTATCCGATTGGAGGCGGCGAAACATAACTAAACCACTATGACAAAGCCCACATTAGTTTCCATACAACTTATTACTTTCCCAACACAGGAATTTGCCTTGACAGATAGCTGAGAAGAACTTACAGGGTTCTGAGGCCGGGGATCCGCGTCAGGTTTAATGTCGTACCGCATCACAATCTGCGACAAGAGCAGCTTGAGTAGATGATTCGCAAAGAAACGTCCAGCACTATAAATGAGTCAGTAAAACATTATCGCTGAAAGTCTCTAAGGTGTATTTACCAAGCATATCTGCCATGGCTGAAGGCCAGATAAGTGTCACTAGTGGCCGCAAACTTGAGCCCTGTCGTTTGCGCCTCTGTCTTCTCATCCAAGAAGCGGAAGGGATCAAACGAAAAGGGCGACTCCCCGGGATAGACTTCCGCATCGTGATGCAAACCGTAGCTCCCAATTCCAATTTTTGCGCCGCATGGAATGTGTTCTCCCGTTGGGAGATCGACACCATCCTTGGCCACAACCACTTTGATGATGCCATGAGCGAACCCCCAGAGGCGGAGACTCTCAGTCATGACACTGTCCATCTTGGGCAATTTGGCCACCTCTGCTCGAGTCCAGCGCGAAGAAGGATCAGCATTGTCTGCATTCGTAGCTTCTTCGCGCAGTTGGTCTTGAATGCTGGCACTCTGAGGAGAGTGAGCGATGTCAATCAGGACATTCTCAAGGGTGATGCCCTGGACCTGAATGGCAGCCCAGTTGAGGATAGCCAAAAGCTTGCTGCTATGGCTCTGTGATCGGCACGGGTCGTCATTGCGACGATAGGCTTCTTGCATGAGGCGAGATAGAAGATCGCTTGGCTGGTCTGGATCTTTCTTCTCTTCATTATCCATGCGGCCAAACCGTCTTGCCCGCTCTCGGATTATGGGATTGACACAACGGTCCATACGCTTGAATTGCATCCAGTCGTACTGCGCAAGAAGAGGGCCAAGGAGTGGCCGAAGAGGCTTTGGAGTCAATTGGGCAAGAAGAGCTTCAACCAGGATGAACTTTGCAAAATGGGTTGAGCTGGCAAGATACGTCGGGTCCCGGCATAATGGCAAACCGACATACATGCGGCTGACGATACGGCTCATGAGCTCCAAACAGACATCCAAAAGCTCAACCTGTGTCCAGTTTGTCGTGTCATTGCCCCAGAGGTCTTCCAAGGCTGCTTGGATCTCCTCAATGACATCGTTGGTCTTGTTATTGAGTTCCTTGGTGATATCCTTGATGAGATTGACTACAAATGTCCACTCATTGTCATCGGCAGCAACACAGTTTAAGAACGTGTGTTTGGCTGCGAGAAACTCGTTGTTGCTCTCACGCTGGCTGAGCACATTTGCAGGCTGCTTCATCAACCATGGCAAATTCTCCGGTGGTAAGATGACTTGGTGCCCCGTGAAAATATCAGGGAGGATATATGGTCGTCCCTTCTTAGAGTACTATTTAACATTGTTAATCCAAGAGCTGGATGAGCATGAATAGGGTGATTCTTACGTCTCGGTGTCCAGCCCAGAGGAGGGTGTTGACTTCGAAGACAGAACCGAGAGACGCTCGACCGCGAGAGAAAAAGGATCCATCTGAGTTGGCAAAAGCCAAACTTGTTGGAATGCCTTGGTACGAAAAGACACGATACCACACATAGTAGATGCCCCCTAGAAGACCGACAGCGGCCAGCCAGGGGAGAAGAGCCAAAATAGTAGACATGATTCTCAAAATATTTGAGGTATAGGGTCTGTGATTCTTGAGCTCAGACTTCTATGAAAGCCGGGGAGCTTCGTGCTTTTCATACACATACATGCATTCAGCTCGACGAAACTCCCTGTCTGGCAAAATAGGACCCAAAGTTTCCTACACAAATAGATAATGATCCACTAAGGTCACGCTATTAACGGAATTGCCGCTTAGGCTTTAATGCTCTATGGCAGGAGCTGATAATTTGAAGGATCATCATCCTCCCTAAAGCTCCTGTCCCCTTAAAGATCTATCTATAGGCGCCTGGGGCTGAAAGAAAGGCTGGAATTAGTGGGTCTGAATCTCATATGATCTTCAGCATCAACCAACTATGGGATACTACTAAGCTCATGGAAGATCCTACTCTCATGGCACGCACACCGCTAAGCTTAAGTCTTAGGTAAAGCCGAGAAACAGATTCAGCGGAGGTTTTCAGGCATCAATGGCTCTGAGACACACTGAAACTAATCGCGCATGTGACGTTGCCCCTAGAAATACCTACCAGGATCTTCCATGACTCTCGCAGGATCTTTACTTTTGCTAGTTGATAACGAAGGACGGCGGATAAAGACCTGACAGGTGAGGGATCTGTAGGATCGTAATGCGACGATCTGACTGGGATGCCTCTAGCCTATCACGATCGAGATATCAGAAAAGAGACAGGGTCTCGAAGCTAGGAGCAGAATCCTTCCTGATTAAGCACTAGCAGTCTCGGTATTGACGCCGAAGAATCGGGCCAGTCATCAGTTGGTGATATGTCACCGTAAGGGTAACACGGACAACTCCATTCACTGACAGCTGTAGGATCATGAATACAACGCTGCGGCCCATCTCTCTACCGACTCGTTGAAGGATGCAATATTTTGTTTATTTCTCTTTCTTGGGTGCATATATGGAGCTGCATAATTAGCCGGATTAGAAGTCAGCGTTGATTACAAACATACTCGTATGATTGACAGCACGAAATTTACCCACTAAATTACTTGCATAGATAAATCGTATTCACTTGGATGAGTTGCAAATTCTAATCAAACACACAACAGGTATCTCTTAAGACACATGCATCTGCTATCGGACCTATTAACTAATGACTTAAAATTCGTTTCTCTTAAGACACATGCATCTGCTATCGGACCTATTAACTAATGACTCAAAATTCGTTACTCCTCCAATAGGCCGCTATCAACTCTTCTACTACTCAGACAAGTCATCTGGGGAAATACGAGCATTGAGAAAGGATTTTAGCCCTCAGGTAGCTACTAAAAAGAAAATGTCAATCCTACAGTGACCCAAAATAGCCGTCAGTACAACACTCCCCGCGTGTAAGCTGAACAGAAGGACGAGGCGAGGATTTAGGATCCAGGCAACCCAGCCGCATTGTAACGTAAAGTTCATAATTACTATATTTATAGCTCTAGAGATACGCACGCTGGTGACGTACCACTCTCTTTGCTGCATATCCCTTTGCTAGCATGTTTTTGTAAATGACTGAAGATGGTATGCTGTGTTCAAAATGCCTACCAGAAAGGCATTCATAAACTGTCTCTGCGAATCGGCTCGAAGATCTCAGTAACTGAGAGTTACACCATCTGAAGACTACACTTACTAAGACAAAAGAACTGTTCTCTAAGATGGTTGATTCGATATTACCCGATCACACAATGGCGGCGGCATCTAAGCTTCATATTGACATTTCAATCACTCCCAATCTTTCTACACCACCTGAACGTCTGCCATTGCCTCCACCATGGGTGAACAAATTAGTTCAGGATGTGATTAGAAATCAAGTCATCGCTCAGCCTGAGGCTCAGGCTATTGCCTCGGCAACTGTGAATCTCACATACAAAGAACTAGACGAGAGCTCTACATGGCTGGCTGTGCAGATTGCATCTTCTGGAATCAGCTCAGGTTCTATTGTGCCAATTATTCATGAGAAAGTAAGACATAAACCTGTGCCATCTCTCTCTTTTTCCAATTCAATAGGAGTGATATCTAGACTGCAACACCTCAGGAAGAGTAAAGAGGAAGAAAGGGTAGAAAATAACATGCTAACCTCTTTCACACAGTCTGCCGTCACCATCGTTGCTATGCTTGCAGTTTTGAAGGCTGGATGTGCTTTCACTGCCCTAGATGTATCTCACCCAATACAGAGGTTGTTGGAAATTATTGAGGACACCAATGCCCCCATTCTGCTAGTATCAGCTGAACAGGCTCTGCGATTCAATGGTCTTGTTGGAGTTCCAATCTTGGAACTGTCCACTGATGTCATCTCTGGTTTGACCACTGCTGCTGAAACACCCAAAGCTCCGACCGATGTCTCACCACGTCATCTGATGTATACCGTCTTTACCTCAGGCAGTACAGGTCGCCCAAAAGGTGTCATGATAGAGCATGGCGCCTGGCTGACGAGCGCTCTCGCATATGGCGCTGACCAAGAGCTCAATTCCGGCTCGAGAGTCTTGCAATTTGCATCATATGCCTTTGACATGTCCTTGATGGAGATATTTACGACTCTCATCTTTGGTGGATGCATCTGCGTGCCAGATGAGGAAGATCGTTATGGAAGAATACAGGATTTTGTCAACCAGACGGGCGTCAACACCTTGATGCTGACGCCTTCCTACGCCAAATTGCTAGACCCCACTACAATGCCTGCTGTTAAGATACTTATCACCGGTGGCGAGGCCGTCCCCAGTGATCTAATTGAGCTGTGGAATCCACATGTCAAAGTCTACATTGCCTACGGTCCGACGGAAGCCTCAATACAATCTGCTGGCACAAAGCTCGAGATTGGAACTACCACGGTCCCATCGGGTCTCATAGGGCGCCCAATAGGCTGCAATCTGTGGATTGTTAAAGAGGATAACCACAATGAGCTGATTCTTAAGGGCGAGGTCGGGGAGCTGGTCATCGAAGGAAACACTCTCGCACGGGGCTACTTGGGTGACGAGGCCAAGACCGCTGACACATTTGTGAACATATCCATTGGCCTTGATACCCGGCGCGTGTTCAAAACAGGCGATTTGGTTCGCCAGACTGAGGGCGGCGATATCATCTTTGTTGGCCGCAAGGACACGCAGATTAAGGTGCAGGGCCAACGCTTCGAGCTCGCTGAGATTGAAGCAAGGCTGGCCCAGACTCTACCCATTGGATCTAAATCTTGTGTTGACAAAGTTGAGAACCCCCACTTTCACAATGGAGGTGTTATTGTGGCCTTTTTTACCGACAATGTAAGAGTGTCGGGCGACGAGAAGCCAGAGGTCAGCTGGAATCAAGTTGAGACAACCTTGGAAAGATCCCTCGAAATCATGGCGAACCTTGGAACAGTACTCCCGAAGCCAATGATTCCATCACTATACGTACCAGTCTCTTTTATCCCTCTAACAACATCTCACAAGACAAACCGCGCCGCATTACGAGAGCTGATTACATCTCTGGGCCCCATTGAGATACAAAAACTCCGAAAGCCAGATATGACCAAAGGCAAATCCAGAGCCCTATCTGCTGAGGAGTCAATTTTGCGAGAGCTATGGGCGTTCGCTCTAAACTTGAACCCAGAGAGCATTGGACCGGATGATCACTTTATTCAACTCGGAGGTGATTCGGTTACAAGCATCAAACTGATCGCAGCAGCTCGCAGTCGTGGGATCAGACTCACATCAGCCACTGTCCTCTCTAACCCAGTCCTGTCCGACCAAGCTCGACTCGCATTCAGCTCCGCCGCTGGAGAGAGTGGCGAGAATATTCCACCGTTTGGGTTACTGGGGGTTCGTTCGAACGAGCTCCGCGTAATAGCGGCCGCCTTATGCGGGCTTCCAACAGAGGAAATAGAAGATGTCCTGCCCATGACGCTCAGTCAGATGCGGTGGTACGGGAAGACTTTGGTGAAGCCAGACGCATGGATTGACCAATACCACTTTCAACTCCCCAGTGACGTGGACCTTGTACGATTCAATTCAGCCGTCAGTTCCGTTGTAGAGGCTACGGATCTTTTGCGAGCAAGGGCTGTCGCCTCTGGAGACAGGAAGCTTTTTCAGGCCATCACCAAGTTTCATCCAGTTCAAGTCATCAACGTCAGTGATACCTTGGAAGAGTACCTAAGCCGGGATCTCGCAATTCCCATGCGTATTGGTGCACCATTGACCCGTTTCGCTATCCTTCATCAAGCCGACTCAACTAAAGTCTTTGTCTGGACAATCCACCATGCTATCTACGATGGCTATTCTCTACCAATGCTGCTGCAAACCATCCAGGATTTCTATCAGGGCCTCAAGCCAGCCCCATTCACTCCTTTCAACCGCTACCTCAAAGGTCCTGAAGAGAAGGATCTGATTGATGGAGAAATATTTTGGATAAATTATCTACTGCAGGCTTCTTGGACCAAGTTTCCCGTCTTACCACCTCCTGAGGAAAAGTCTCCACCACAGATGGGCAGACTCTTGCGGACCCTAAGTATCGTCTCGAGACAAGCACAGCCCGGCAACTTTGAGAGCGCACAGTCGGTCACTATGGCAAATGTGATCCGTGTTGCATACGCTGCAACGCTCTCACACCATTCAGCAGACCGTCCAAGCTCTGTCCTTTTCCTAGAATCTCTCGGTGGTCGAAACTCAAGCCTGAAGGGCATCGATCGTGTCGCTGGACCGACCCTCCTCACCATCCCTACGAGATTGGAGCTACCAGGTGTTAAGTCATGCAAAGATGTTGTATTAGAGGCGCAGACATCACTTGTTGAGAGAATGAAGTTTGAGAGCTTCCCCCTGCCCCGCCTCCTACCGCTTGCACCTGCTCTTGAGCTGCGTAACGTCCTCATGATAGAGAATGAAGCGTTTCTGATCAACGGAGATGGTAACGGACTATTCGGCCATGGAAAAGAAGAGTTGAAGTTGGAGGAGACAGAGGGCTTACCAATGATATTCCGGTGTACTACTCTTCAAAGCCAGTTGGATGTCGATATAAGATACGACAGTACCATCATTCCCCACGGGGAGGTGGAAGCTTTCTTGGAAACCTTTGAAAGATTTTTTGAAGAGTTATGGTATGGTGATGGGGCCAGATCTTTTGATGTCATTGCTTCATCCTGATTTATGGGATAGCGGTTTGACAACTTGTAAGAGATGAGATTCAGATTCTCTTTAGATGCTACTTTTGGGTGCTAGCTGTTATGACATTACACCGAAGGCAGCTTAATTAGTTGATACTATGGGATGCGTGTTAAGCAAGTATCGCAAATTCCCAGATAGTACAAGTAATCAAACCAAACCAGTACTATGAATTGCCTTTAAGTTATATCAATAACCGTGCAATTGAACTATAATTGTTTCCTCACTCTTGGCTCCGCGCCCAAGCAGCAATTTGACTACATCCGCTCTCGTGAAGAGTATATAAGCCATTTTGCTAGATTGGATAGAATCTGCAAATATCTTTAGTTAGTCTGCGTTGCTACATGAGTCACTAGCACTCTGCAATAAGCCTCCATAGTTGTGCTGCTTTTAACTGTGGTATAACGAGATGGTATGTAGGTATCTTGATATTAGTGTATAGTCGAAAAGTAGCAAAAATAGAGTCTTTATTTACTCAAAACCGCGACTCCCTTTGCACCTTCCACTGTCCTCTGTAGTTTAGGACTTAGATACCTTGTGAAATAAAATAAAAATACGTACGTAATTGCATTCCAACTACAATACTTCCTTTGATAACTCATCTGAGCTTCGAACATTCAGCATGCTCATTTCCTGCTTCTCCACCCAGCTTCAGGGTAGGCTTATTATGTAATTTTCGGAACCAACGATTTGTATCCGAGGTCTTGCAACTCTCCAACCCAGAACTACCCGAGCCCTCTGTTCCGACTTTTCGCGAACTTCGACTTCTCTCCTCTCTCGTCCTCCGTATGGCGGGAGGTCGCAAGTCCAAGGCCGCAGCACCGGCTCGTCCCCCAAACACCCTCGTCGTCGACAATGGCGCCTGGACGCTCAAGGCCGGCCTCGTTTGCGGCGGCTCGATTCCAGAGCCTCGCGTGATCCCCAACTGCATCGCGCGCGACCGCTCCAAGAAGATTTACGTGGGCTCCGAGCTCGAAAAATGCCGGGACTTTAGCGAGATCCAATTCCGGCGGCCGGTGGAAAAGGGCTACTTGGTCAACTGGGAGGCGCAGAAGGAGATTTGGGACCAGGAGCTGTTTGGCGACAAGGCAGAGGTGAAATGCGATCCCAGCGAGACGAGGCTGATGCTCACGGAGCAGCCGAACACGCTGCCTGTGCTGCAGACCAACTGCGACCAGATTGTCTTTGAGGAATACGGCTTCTCGAGCTACTACAGAGGGATTGGTATGTTTATTCAAGGGAGAAGAGTGAAGGCAACCGACTGGGCTATACTAACATGCACGCTTCACCCCCAGGATCAACATTCAATGCCTATCACGACCTGCAGAGTCTGTTCCGCACGCCAAAAGACGCCCTCACAGCCGCAAACACGCCAGCTGAAATCATGCTGGTTGTCGACTCCGGCTTCTCGCACACAACAATCACCCCTCTCCTCGGCGGACGACCCCTCCACTCGGCCATCAGGAGAATCGACATTGGCGGCAAGTTTCTGACAAACTACATGGCCCGACTCATCTCCCTGCGCCACTTCGACATGCGCAACGATTTATACATAGTCAACGAAATGAAAGAGGCGTCGTGCTACGTCTCCGCCGACTTCAAGGCCGATCTGGAGCGCACGTGGAAAGGAACCAGGGGAGAGAAGCGCCAGGATTACCTGTCCGGGGCCGGCATCGTCAAGGATTATGTCCTGCCGGACTTCCACACCAGGCGCAAGGGTATCCTCCGCGAATATGACCCCGCGCAGTACACAAAATCTAAAAAACTTGCCGCCATGAAGGAATCGGAGGAAGACGTCTTGACGCTACGAAACGAACGGTTCGCCGTCCCTGAGCTAATCTTCCGCCCGTCAGACGTGGGCATGCGGCAGCCCGGCCTTGCGGACGCCATCCAGCAGTCCCTCCACGAGCTCCCCATTGGTCTCTGGCCGGGCCTTCTCGCCAACATCGTCGTGGTGGGCGGGACCTCTTTGTTCGACGGCTTTATCCAACGCTTGCAAAAGGAGCTCGTGCAGCTTGTCCCCGACGATTGCATAGTTCGCGTCGCTCGCCCTGCCGACCCCATCACCAACACTTGGTACGGAGCAGCCAACATGGCAAACCACCCGAATATTGACAAAGTAGCCGTCACGAAGCAGGAGTACGAAGAGCATGGTAGTGCATGGATAGCCCGCAGATTCTCGACAGGTCTCCTTACATCCTGAACAAGGGAGAGAGAGCCTTGGCTTGGGTGCCGCAGTGTCTTTGATGCCTGGCGTTTATACTTCAGAACAGAAGGCTACATGTGAGATGCGGCGGTCTGGGCGTGGGATGGACATACACGACTTCTTCCCATGATTGGATAAGTGCGGCAGCTGTGCAAGTGCCAAGAGAATCACTGTGCAACATCTTGTCTCGTCACAAAACACGCCAAGCATTCCAATTCGCACTTGTAATGTGTTGCAAACGCTTTCCGATAGGTTTTGTTCTCATCCAGGAGCGAGCTTCCGATCGAAACAATTATGTGGGAATTCTCGCCAAGAACATATGCCAACACTGTCTCAGCGAACAAGTCGAATCCTAATACTGCCAAGCAAGACGGTCAGGTTAGACAGAGACGAGTTTTCCTTGCAATCTACCAGGCAGCAGAATGGGCATAAGGCCATTGCCCGAAGAAGAAGAGGGGACGCGCAAGCAAGGGAAGCAGTCATTTGGTTCGATTTCAAAAGGCTAGGCTAGGTGCACCCAAAGAACAAGTCCATCATACCAAAGTCCCACCCAGCCGACATTTCCCATCAAATCGCTATATGCGGAGCAATCAGATACGTCTATTGAACTTTAATCATAAAAACAAATAATATGATGCGTTCATGGTTCCGTGCTTCTCGGCGAGTTTCGGCGTCTCGGCATTCCTCTAGTTGACTGTATGCATGGCGCTGTCATCGGGGAGGTCATGGTGCCGGGCTATGTATGCGGGTGAATGTGGCTTGTAAAGATGAAAGGAGAGTCGCTCATTATACTCCATACGCCGTCATAAGTTGGGAGTCGTGTACCCAAAAGGTTAGAGGAGAGGTTCCACTGATATCATGGCATTAAGAAATAAAAATGGGAGGAGAGAGGAGAAAATCGGCCCATGCTGATCAAAGACGGCCCAGGCCTCGACCACGAGACACGCACCCTGTATGACTGGTTAGCACTTTCACACTCCATAGCCGGGTTATATCAAGTCCAAGAGGGGGTGAGCTTTACAATCGCACTGTTGTGCTGCGTTAGCAATCCGTGTATTCACTTGCCAATCTGGTGTGGTGGGAACTTACGTGGTTCATCGAACATCCTTCATTGTGAGTGGTGCAGTATCCAGCACAGCACTTTTTGCACACCCTCTGGGTAAGGTTAATGCAGTCGTCGCACTGCAGTTTTTGAGCTCTACGTTAGTTCTCTCTCTAATATAGCAAGCATGGTCATGGGGAGAAGAAGGGGGTAATGCTCACATTGTTGCCGCATTCCCAGCAGCTCTTCGACACTCGTGGCTACGCAGTTAACTATTAGCGGAACATTTCTCCTAATGTGAAACATTGCATTGTGATGATGATGGCTCCGCCTCCTCTGCAGCTGCAGCTGCAACACCAAGGGCATTGGGGGTTGGGACAAACACTGCCTACAAATTCGAGAGGTCTGTCTTCGAGACTGGCCTGATCGGCTGGTCTAATCCATCCCCGGCTCGTCATGTCGCAGAATTTAGGTTTCCACTACGATTTCCCTTCTCTTCCTGGGCTCGAGCGAGTGTACATGAATGACAGAGACCGTTTCGTACCTTTTTCATGGTCGGAGTTGCGAAATCCAATTCGTCAAAGTCATTGACCACATCATCGTCGTCAACAATGGTGACCTGTGTCTCAAAATGGCCCCCGAATCTCTGGCCGGGAAGCGTATAGCACGATTCGCACCACCATTTGTTGCAGCTAGTGCAATATCGCTCGCGGATACAGTCCATACATCTGGGCACGAAAGAGCTATATGGCTCTCTGGGGTTGACTGCCGCCTTAAGGGCCGAAGAAAAGAGAGGCAGCGGTGCTAGCAGCGGTAAGTTGGCGACTGCACCACTGTTCGGACGAGTGAGGCCTTCGGGGGCGTCGTGGCAGCTCTCACAGCCAAGGAGAGCATGAGTAGCCACAGCGGGAGCGCTATCAAGATCCGATCCGCCCTTGTAGGCCGGAGAATTTCGGTGTCGTGACCCACGGCAGAGTACGGCATCGAAGGCTATGATGCCCTGACAGGCGAGCATGCAGTTGGCCCACTCCTGGCTGACAGACCGAGGCAGGATGCGGCCCTTCTTGTTCCACCAAGCATCGCCTTGGTTCTGCAGCGAGGATGCCAGAGCCATCTGGCTCTTTTGGTTCCACTCTGCACTAATAGACGCTCCGGATGGATCGGGTTGCTGTGCAGCAGCCAACACGTCCCTGGGGCCAAAGACGTAGAGCGCCTTGAGACTAGGGGAGCCGGCTCGCCGGGTTGGGCGACAAGCATACTGAAGTGTTTGGCGGAGCTTGCCATGGTTCAGGTTCTTGACTTCACGAATGGACAAGACGCGAACGTTGAAGCTGGCATCATTGATAATTTCATGACAGAGCTCCGAAGTCACGGAGAGTCCGTCAAGAACCAGAGTCTGAACATTCTGCAGAATGCTCTGTCGCCGAAGGGTTGAAAAGATGCCCCTCAGCGGGCCGGAGTAGAAGCTGTGGAAAAGTCAGCTTAGCATCGTATGACATGACATGATGCAGGGGACCGCCATGCACTCACTCATCTTCGGTGAGGTTTTCATCTAGCTGAACATTGCGCCAGACCTCGCCTCCATGATCGATCTTGTCAATCTCAAACTGGACTGCCTTGATGTGAGATAAATCAAGATGGCGGAAAACTCCTGGGGTCTCTCGGATGAGGGCTCGGAAAGCTCGGCTTGTAGCAGCGAGGCTCAGGACACTCGACAAGGGCAAATAGGGAATAATGTGTCTCAAGATGAGAGAGTTGTGGATGGTGTCATAGAGGGTAGTGGCTAATTCATCCGTCTCCGATGTCGCCAATAGTTGGAGCTCTTCACGCGTTGGGTCGTCGACGGTAGCTAAGCTCATGTCAGGCTACCTGGACCTTGAAGAACGAGAGACTTCGCGGGCGATGGAGATTCGTCGCAGGCGAGGTAAAGCCGTGAGCTTGCGGCCAAGTGAAGCCAGCACGAGGAAAGATGAAGGATGATATGATATGCAGATGCTAGGTGGGGAAGGAATTGGGGAAGCTTCCGTGTAGCTAAGTTTATGGTCTAGGATGAAAGAGATGGTGGCTGAAAAGCTAAGAGTCTTCTGAAAGTAATGAGAGACCAGCGCTCAACGCTTTTCTCAACAAGCAGATAAAATAAGGATAGATATGGAGTGGGAATAACATGAGAGTTGGAAGTTTGACAGATGGGAGGCCAGTGATATATGCACTTGGTGGTTACCCAGAACGGATGCCCTACCTAATACACAAGTACAAAGCACCTCCTCGATTAGAGCGCCTGTACACGGTGGGCACACGTGCTATACGTTGGTACAACCTTGTTTATAAGCAGTAAGACAATCTCAGATTACACGGCAGAAATGCTCTGCTGAGAGAGACACAGCTGCCGTCAGTCAGACTGGGCGGTCTGGTCCTTACTCGTGCATGGAGCGAGACGTGGCCGAAGCTTAGAACCGCCTGTATGAGAGACGAAATAACTACTGCCACATGGAGTATAGACTTTCTCGGCGCCTGGGCTATGGCTAGCTTGGCTAAGACAGGGCAATCTTGGACTAAGACCACACCTTCACCTTATCAGGCTATGGATGGCCAATCCCAACGCACGGGAGATTGGGGGCGCCGTATAGCCAGATGGGGGGCCCTTCTCCCAACGGCAGCTTGTAGGTGAGCTCCGTGGTGGGATTTCAGCAGCGCCAGCGGCGGCTGCGTCGACCGAACCGGTCCAGGCGAGGCGAGGTGAACCTAACAGGAGAAGCGCCGAAGGACCGAAGCAACCTCCATTTGGTGAAATAATAAAGAAATTAGTAAATTCCTTGCGGATATGGATCATCGGCTGAGATGGAGGGACTGTGTGTGGCGAATGGGCGACCAAGACGTAATGCGTTTATGTAGCACTCTCGGTAGGTATGTAACGTCCCTAGAGATTCGTCATTTTTGGGAGCTCCCACCATGCGCGAGGTGGCATAATCTGGCTGGATCTTGGGAGACGAATCAGAAGAGGCAACGATTCACACTCTCAAGCTTCGACGGATGAGCTCTCACCACCCAACCGCCGTTACCCCACAAAATCCCAAATCCTCCCCCCTGTCCATGGAAGAAGACAATCAAGAGCAGCACGAGCACTCGGCCAGAAACTTGCAGTGTGTGGGTGCGGGGTATCTTCAGAGGAACAAAGAAAAGGCACTGTTGACATGTCCCATGTGTTTGGACAACTGGAAAATTGCAATCGTGATTCCTTTGAATGATATTCTCTTTGCTGGGCTCTCTGGCCGTGTGCCATGACAGCTCCGCCCACGAGCGTGTCCAGCCCCCTCTTTGCTGCCACTTTCGTTTCATCTCAAGGGTCTGCATGCACCGGAACGGCGGAGCTCTGCCGTCCAGCATCCGAACTGATGAGCAAGATCTCTCGGCGTGGGGGAGAGTTTTGGTCGCACGGCGGCAGCTTCATTTTGCGGGGCAACTTGGCTGACACCTTGAACATGGATCTCCTCATCTCAATTGCTGTGAGTAAGCAACGACAAGACTGAACGGCACCTCGAGCTGCATCTGTTTTGAGGACTCCTTTTGGTCGTGTCTGCAGTACTGAAATGGCCTTTTGAATGATCATAAAATGATGGTTGACGGATTGAATTGCCTTTGAGAATGATCTCCTGGCAGTCACGATGCAGATACAAAATGCACGTGATTTCGCACGTGCACTCACACGTGTGCTTACATCATATTGCAGAACACCAAAGCTCCGTGCTTCATAGAATTGAACGGAATGCTGACTTATCGCAATTGCCCCTCTAGACGTTTCTGCCGCGTCTTCCAGTTGTCGCCTTCGCAATGGCGTAGGTAATCCAGACTTCTACTTTTAAATCGTTGATATTGCGGCAACTAAGCAATGGAAGCTATTTGTATCTGTATTGATCAACCTCCGTGCAACTGTGGCTTTCTGGCTGCGTCCCTTTCCTTTCCTTGGAAATTTTCCCTATTATCTTCTCCTATAACAAAGAGCTGCGTCTAGGCGTAGCATAATAATATCAGACCAGCATGGACGAGCCCATCTCTCTTCGGTGGTCAGACTCGTTCGCCATACTCCCTCCCTCCGATCCAGTCTGCAGTAAGCTTCCGGGAGACAAGATTATTCTCCCTCCTTCTACCCTCCAGCAGCTACTCTCGGCTTCGTCTGCCCGAGCAGCAACGACATCCTCCAATGGAAGCAACGGTTATTTCGGCTCCAGCTATCTGAGGAATCAGTCGCACGAACAAGAGACGCAGCAGCTTCCAAATCCTCTTATCTTCCGTCTTGTCAACCCGAAGAGCCACAATGTGGTGTATGCTGGCATCAGAGAGTTTTCTGCGCCAGAGGGGACCATTGGATTGAGTTCATTACTCCTCGAGGCTCTAGCCATCAGCTCCGATGATTACGTGTCAACGACCCCCGATGTCATAGATATCGAGAATCCTGAGGACTTGGAGAGCAAAAATGCTACCTCAGAGAGCAGCCGGATAACCGTACATGCTGTAGAGCTTCAAAAAGGAACATATGTACGGCTGCGACCCCTCGAAGCTGGGTATGATCCCGACGACTGGAAGCCCTTGTTAGAACGTCAGCTCCGGCAAAACTTCACAACGTTGACGAAGAATACGGTCATTCCCGTTCAAGGCTCGCAAGGAGAGAATTTCAAGCTCTTGGTGGATAAGTTTGCGCCGGATGGTGACGGCATCTGCGTAATCGATACAGACTTAGAGGTTGATATAGAAGCTCTGAACGAAGAACAAGCCCGAGAGACAATGCGCCAGATTATTGCAAAAGGGCAGTCGGGCGCTTCCGGTGGTAGTTCCAAGGGCGGCGAGTTGAGTATCTGGAAAGACACAGAAGGGCAAGTAGTATCTGGTCAATATGTCGATTATACGCTTCCGTCATGGGATCGATCACAGGATCTGGCCATCTCTCTAAGTGGAATCTCTGACGCGGATAGCTTGGATTTATTTATCACACCGAAATCACGCCAACAGAGGTCCTTGCCACGAGACTCTGCCCATGTTTTTGGAGATTTCTCACCGGCTCAGCATGGCATCAAGTCCATCACGATATCACCGACTAATGTCGAGCTTGAAGATGTTGAGAGCCTCCTTATATCGGTTCACGCGTACCGGGATGCTGGCTCTGATACAGCTCCGACCAACACAACCCCTTACACTTACACTATTCGAGCGAAGACCGCTTCTCTAAAAGAAAAATCTACCAATGAACCCATGGAGCTCGACCAGGAACATTCCGCAGATGAGGAACAATGTTCAAATTGCTTACAATGGGTTCCAAAGCGGACCATGGTTCTACACCAAAACTTTTGTCTGAGGAACAATGTTCTTTGCCCTATCTGCAAGTCGGTCTTCAAAAAAGGCTCGCCCGAATATGACGCCCACTGGCACTGCAGCCACGACGAGACTCACGGGGATTCGGCCTTTAGCAAAGCTAAACACGACCATATATTTCACACTGACCGCAATTGTCCAGCTTGTGATTTTTCAACCAATTCCCTCTCAGACCTAGCACGCCACCGCACAAGCGTTTGCCCCGGCAAAATCATCCTTTGCCGATTTTGCCATCTCGAAGTTCCTCAAGAAGGCGACCCCTTTAACCCGTCACCCGAGGTTGTCCTCTCGGGAATGACAGCTCACGAACTGGCAGATGGGGCCCGTACTACGGAGTGCCATCTGTGTGACAAAATAATTCGCCTACGAGACATGGAAACTCACCTCAAGCACCACGAACTCGACAAGGTGAGCCGATCTAAACCCTCAATCTGCCGGAATGTCAATTGCGGAAGAACACTATACGGTGTTGGGTCGAAGGGGCAGATCGGCACGGCGGGCTCTCAAGTCAAAGCCTCAGGCAACGACATTGGTCTCTGCTCATTATGTTTTGGGCCCTTGTACGTGAGCATGCATGATCCCGATGGCAAAGCTCTACGACGAAGAATCGAGAGACGGTATCTCAGCCAGCTGATGGCAGGGTGCGGGAAATCACATTGCGCAAATGAGTGGTGCAAGACCGGACGATCAAACACCGGCCTCGAAGCCAAGGGATCATCCGCTGCAGCGGCACTTCCTCTCGTCAAGCCGTTTCTTCCAGGAGCACTTGACGCCTCGCAACCATGCTACTTTTGCGTTGACGAGGCAAGCCAGACAGGCCGCAAACTGGCAGAGCTGGTGGCGGCCGAAAAGGCTTGGGAGCTTGAGTGGTGTGTTGCCGCCGCTGAATATGAAAAGGCCAATTTAGATAAGATGAGAGATTGGCTGCAGGCATGGGCGCCTAGAAAGTAGACTGGCGATGGAGTCATGGCATAGATTAGATCGTTGAGAGGTGCTGTATCATATATTGCATGGCATTGCGTTGGTCAAGATACCCCGGACATTGTTGCTCTATACAAAGAATCTATCGAGTTAGCTTAGCATATAGACTCGCCTTGAAATTATTGCTTTGCCCTTGCAGGCCAGCATGAATCTGGAGCTAAGTTCAATCTTGTTGCTGCCGGCTAAATGGTTGCAACAGCGGGATCGGAGCCAAGCAGCACATTTCACATGTGTTTTGATGACGTTGATTCGCCGGAGTGCCGATCAATGATCTCATAATGAGGCCGACTCCAAACAAAAATATCATTGTGCACCACAGGGCTATTTCTTGCAAATACCCACGGACAGCACCCATAGGCTCTCAAAGAAGCAAAACCAACAGAGGAAGATAAGGACACTGGCAAAATACGAGTAATGGCGCGCGCACGTATAAGCTCGAAGGATTGCTGGCTAACGGGTTTGGACGGATTTGGCGAAGCAAAGACAAAAGTCCGGTTCCGGGGTTTGCTGTGGAGGAGGTACTTTGTACTGCTGTTGAGAACCTCGGAAGACTCAGGTACACAACAAGCAAACAAGATTCGGCCAGCGTGCATACGAACAAAGTCGGCTGCACTGCCATTCGAGCATAGCCTGGAGTTTTGGGCAGCTTTATGGAACAAAGGACGCACGACTGCATTCTAATCAATCTCAAGGTAAGCAATAAGCAGCCCAATGATTATAATATCAAGCCCATCATCCCAGATCCGGGAAATGAAGCAAACAAACGAAGCTTGATTCTACTGCCTTAGTACCATTCTTAGCAGGGCACATGTCCTGGGCTTAGCACCTACGCGTACGAGTGGACTTGAGTCCGGCTGTCCCGAAAGTACCTGGTGGCCGCGAGATACTTTTGGATGCTGACCGGGTAATTGGAGATGGCCGCTGGGAGAATCCAGTAGGAAGCAGAACAGCTGCGGTGAGCATGGGAGAGGCGCAATCAGGCGAATCGTATCTGACGGAAGCAATGCGTATAGAAGGCCATGATCAATCCAAGGTGGGCTAGAACCAGTTTCACGGCCATGATTTGCCTCCAGATTTGCTTTGTAGACGTTGGTTAAGGCTGAAGAGATTGAATCTGGGACTGAACCCAATGGATGGATCAATGGCTGCTGTAAGGCCCCGTTCCAGGAGACTCCAGGTCACCTTTGGGCACTGCAACCCGCTGTAGCCCAGCTCAACAAGCGGCCAACGAATACGCTCTGGAACGCTGTGGCGGCCACCCACAGGCTCAACCGCCCGGATTTGTACCTCCCCTGGCTGGGGTACTTGTGGACAGCTCCCCATATTTGCATCGTTACAAGGTGGGGGAGGTGATTCTGCCCACGCTGACCGTTATCGTTGTCCCGCTTTCAACATCCATATCCAGACCAACCTCGCATTTCCCGGGCACGCAACTATCACGACTTGCATTCGCATTGCATCGCGTCGCATCCCGACCGCCTCATCCACGGCCTCTTTTCTCAGCCCTTTGCATCTGCGCTTTTTGCTTCTCTTCCGGCCTGCGTTCGCCAAGCCAATATCCGGCCACTAAGGCGGTCCAGATCGAAGCTGCTGCTTGCTTGGGGCAAATCTATTGACGTGCGAAGCTCCTCCTTTGCCACCCGCCATCTTCGAGTCGCCCGACAAATAAAGCGCTCGGTATCTCTACCGCACGAAGCAACTGGCTGCCCGTCAGAGGCGTCGATTGCAGACACCACTATGCAACACCTGCTTCCTACAGCAGTCTGAAGCAGTTCCTGTTGAGTCGCCAGTTCTTGTGGCGGATCGCAAGGAAGCGAGGCACTCGTCTCTTAGCTCCTCTCTCGCGTGCGCCCTCTATTAGGCGCATGACCCTGGAGCATCTCTGCGCCGGCTTTCGATAATCGGCGCATTAGATCTGGATAGACGACTTGCGAGTCCCCTGTTGAGATAAACGTAGGACCAACTCATATCTCAACCAACCCGCCGATCCTCGCTTGATTAACTTCCAAGCATCGTATTCCCCTCGTACATTATTATTTGATTCTCTTTTCATCTTTTCTTCTTCCGGATTTCTTCTTCATTTCGTTGCGCATCTTTTGCATTTTCACAATGGGCAATACAAACACAAAGGAATCTCGCTCCGATTATCCCGAGGATGGCCGGGGGCGGCGATTCGACATGGGAGATTCCTCTCGTGGTGTCTTGGGCGATCCACGTCTCCAGCTAATGAGATCGGAGCGAGGCTTTCTTAGTCTAGGAGCGGCCTCTGGGTCCCGAAGTAGAGATCGCCCAGATGCCCCGTTCGAACATCGCGAGACAAAACAAGAGCGAGAAGCACGGAAGCTTGAACGTGAGCGAATCCAAAGAGCTCAAGACCGCGAACGGAGTATACGAGAGGAACACGTTGACGGAGGCTATCTCGTCACCATGGGAACCTATGTTGGGACTGAAGATTTCAACAAGGCTGTTGTTAGACAGCTGCAGGTGCGTTGTTGCTCTCCAGGCCGAGCACTGTTATTGGCCTCTCTAACTTGGAATCAATAGATTGAGCGAAAAATGGCTCCCTTTTGGCGTGGCCTCAATGACTGGTCTGATAACTGGGCTGAACACCAGCTCATTGCGGCGGCCCGTGGCCTACCTATCCCCGCGGCCGATGCGCCTCCTGACCCTGATTTGATACCTCGCCTGCCGCCGCCGCCTGACTCTCTTCCTACCCAGAATCTAAGCAGTTTGACGGTGGAGATGGGACCTAGGACTCTCTCAACTGCTTCAGATCGTAGCGGGTCAGGAAGTGGCTCCGCGTTGCCCTCCCCATCGACGGCCGGTCCCTCAAGGGGATCTATAAAGCCAAGGGCGAGAGCATTGGCGGCAGCCTTGAGTGTGGGCTCTCGGAATACGTCTTCGACTGACTTGACACCCAAGGAGATCAACCTCCCCCATGACCCATTTGTTAATGGCCAGCCGATTGAGGTTTTCCTTTACAAGGACGCCTCTGAATGTCCCATTTGTTTCTTGACATACCCTCCTTATCTCAACCACACAAGATGCTGTGACCAGCCGATATGTAGCGAATGCTTTGTTCAGATCAAGCGAGCCGATCCCCACCTTCCTGAGCACCACCCCGATGGCCAAGCGCGAGATCCGAACGAGGGCCTCTCTGCAGAAGACCCCCCCGAAATGCTAATATCAGAGCCTTCAGCATGCCCCTATTGCCAACAACCCGAGTTTGGCGTCACATACGAACCACCACCATTTCGACGCGGGCTGACTTTTTCTTCGTCCAACATTGCTTCAAACACTGCCATGTCTTCTCAGAGCTCACTCAACTCTACATTGGCGCCAGCTCCTGTAGCAGGACGGAGAAGAGCACATAGCTTGTCGGCCAATGCACCCAATGTCATCACTACTGACCGTGTCCGACCGGATTGGGCCACGAAACTGGCCACCGCGCGTGCTCACCAAGCACGCCGTGCCGCTGCAGCCACCGCTCTCCACACCGCAGCCTTTTTGATAGGAGGCAATGAGTCTCGGCCAAGAATACGTACGAGCAGGTTTAGCCGGAGGAATACGAGCACGAACAGTGGCGGTACCACCACTCCCGGAGGACACAGCGGTGGTGCAACCGATACGGCAGAAGGTCAGGAGCCCACTGAACGAAGTTCGAGCCGGAATCCAGATGGCACGCGTCGTACTCGAATGGAGGAGCTTGAGGAAATGATGTTCATGGAAGCGATTCGCCTATCGCTCGCAGCAGAGGAGGAACGGAAACGCAAGGTGGAGAAGGCTCTTCAGAAGGACGCCAAGAAGCGCGAAAAGGAGCGTGAAAAGGCCGAACGTAAAGCTCTTAAAAAGGCAGCCAAGGATCCTTATGCGGGCGGCATCAGCGGAGCCAGTGGAAGCAGTCTTTCCTTGGGCCTTGGTCGCAAGCGAGGAAATAGTGCAGCCAGCAACTTGCGACTTGAGCTCACTCTGCAGTCGAATTCACCATCGGCCTCACAGTCGAACAGAGCAGCGGAATCTCCGAATCAAGAGACTAAAGCGGAGAGCCCTAGCGACAAGGGTAAAGGGGTTGAACGCGAGCCCCAGCCAGGCGCAACAGAAACGACCACCACAGGGTCACTACCTATTCCTACCTCGAGCAGCCGTGGAGGATCCCATTTGCGGCAGATGAGCAACGCATCCTCACTCGGCTCGTCGGTGGGAGACAGCCCATCGGGCAGCCTCACTGATCAGGGGCTTGGTAACTCGGATGCAGCCAAGAGACGCAGCATGGGCAATCGCAGTGACAGCGGCGACGGCGAGACAGAAAGTGAGCCCATGTTTAACTTTAGCAGCCTAGCTGAGATTGTCGGAGTCAACCTTGAGGATGGATCCTCGACACAGCAAGCGGAGCTGGGTGACGGCTCGCCCCGTCCGCTTTCTCAGGTCCCAGAAGAAGAGAAGGAGGATGAGGGCAACGTTGAGCATGTTGAGAGAGCTCTTAAGATCGAAACATCGGGCATGAGCAACGATACGGTTTTCAGTACCAGCGAGGCAGAGAACAGCTCACGGGACGCACCGCCTTTTCTCGACACGCCAGAGCTGACCATTACTCCGGAGACCCCAATCGTTGAAGATGGTGGACCAGAGGATAAGCGCCTAGGAGAGTCCCATGTGTCCGAACATCATTCAACTACTCAGGCTTTGCATTGAAGAACGGAGAGAGATTGCCGCGATGCCGATTAGCGTGATGATTATGATGCCATGGGACGAGGTTAGGCTTGTTGCAGCAGGGGAGACTTCTCATTCATTTCTCTTCTTTTTTCTCTTTCTTTCATGGAGTAAAGGGTGGACCAGGACGGCAACGATACAGGGAGCCCGCAGTTTGAACCATTTGACGTGTAGTATATGTGACAAGTATGTAAAGCGGATGTATGTACTCAGCGATTGTTGAACATTATGCAATGAATAGACTAAAATCACAAGATGACCGTCTCCTTTCTTTCCTTCTTGGATCCCTTTTCTCTGTTGACGTTCTAAATCAAATTTGCATGTCCCCCTTTTGAGTCGTAAGTGTCAACGTCATCAAGCCCAAGCCATGTTCCAGCTACTATCTATTTTAGATATATACATGTTGTGTCGAATTTTCTGTTTGTCTTCACTGCGCGAAGTTATTGCCGCTTTTGGAAAGGCTGAGAAATACGAGACATGGCGTTTTGAATCGAGCGGGAGGTGGCGCATTTTATTTGTTCCTATTTGGGTATTTGACGAGTTTGCTAGAGATTCAAACGTATATAAAGAAGCTATCAAGCATACAATGGGCTTCGTTGACGTCGCTTTTCAACAGTCCTTTTATGGTGTCAGAGTTGGTTGGATATGGCTTCAAAATATCATGTTATTGACATTGCGGGAAGTATTCCGCTCTTGGGGAGGTGGAAGACTTGGATGTGGATGGATTGGTTGGTTGGTTTGATGGATCTACCGGGCAGGCTATGGGAAAGAACTATTAGGGGGAAATAAGGAACGGGGAAATACAAAATGCGTGAGTGAAGGGACATGGCCTTGGGAGGAATGGATGAACAGCATTGGCGATGATGGGTGGTGGTGGTGGTTTTGATGGAAATTCTCATTCGTTTATGCTATGCTTTTTTAATCTCCTTCTGAAACTTTTCTGTCCACTCCGTAAACTCATCTCTTGAACCGTCCCAGCTCTCACTCAGCAGCTCGCTCACAGCAAACGCATCGAGAAAGCATTGGTCCATGGCATCATCAATCTCCCTAGGCCGCAGCTCGTAAAAGGCACATGCCAAATCCCCAAAACTATCGGGAAGCTTCTGCAGCAAGGCAGCAAGCTCGTCTAGTCGGCGCGGAACTTTGTCGCCGGCGCTGCTCTGCGGCAGGGCAGGCAGTTTCTTCATACGGCGCTTGGTGATGGCTTGGTATAGGAGGATGACGAGGCGCAGGCGGCGGAGTGACGATTCGAGTCGGGGCCGGATGCCGTCAGGGTCGGAGGTAGGGATGCTTCGGTGTGAGTTCATAAGGTCGTCGAGAATGTTTTGAGTTGATATGTGGGTGGACCCGACTTGGTCTGCAAGATCATCAACATCATCTTCATCTTCATCTTCGTCGTCGTCGTCTTCATCAGGTTCCTCGTCGCCCCATTCCTTCATCTCTTCCATAATGTCGTTGAGAGTGTCTTTCCACTCGTTCATCTTTTCCACAAAGAACCCGCTGACACCGCCATTAGCAAGGCTAGTGACCTTGTCGCAGGAAGCCCAGAGGACACCAGTCGACGCAATGCTGCCTTTTCCCGAAGCACCAAACCCTTCGTTTTCCTTTGTCAAGACTTTCCCATCCTTGGGGATCTTCTGTAGGAGATCGGCCAGTTCTGACAACACGCGCTGACACCTCCATGCCAGCTCGCGCCGGAATACCAGAGTGTATCCGTTTGAACCGCAAGCCTGGACGGAAGCCGCAAGACCGGGTATAGGACCGGTGACGAGCTCGCGGACCACGGATGAGATTGCGCTTGGAGTGAAGGGCTTGTTTATGATGAGCAGCGAGACTTTGGTGGCGTGGGCTTTGATCAGAGTGGCAGAGTCACGGGCCAGGGCGAGGGCATCGAGAGGCGTTGTTGATGCTGACGAAGTTGCTGGTGTCGAGACGGTTTCTGGGTTGTTTCGGATTTCACCCAGCACATCTTGGAGCTGCTTCAGAAGAGCTCCTGCGGTCTTGACGAGGGTCTCGAGGCTCTCCAGAGCCGCAGCATCAGGAGCCGGAGCCATCAGAGGAAGAGGAAAAGAGAGTATTTGTGGGATTAAGAGTGACAGTAAGTTTTGCGGCCGAGCTGCCAAATCATGGTACTGTCTTAGATGGAACTTTTTTTTTTTTCTTGGAGGGGTACCTAGAATATCACCTATCAAAGTCGCATCTCCCCTGGAACCCCGCGATGTGGGATATCTTATCGGGCTTTGCTGTGCCGGAGCTTTGCCGGAGGAGCTTAAGGAGAGACTCCACCAAGGCCAGTGGGGGGGAGCTGCCACTTTGTCTACTTGGAGACAGCTTGGGCGCTACAAGCCACCTTTTGTGTCAAGTTCAACATCAACCCCCTTTGCAACTTGCCCGCGATGCAGCACCCAAAGTCTTTGGCGCTGTTGGGCGCTGTATGCTCTCTTACAGTGGCTGCTGCTGGCAGCGTGCCGCGTGGAGTTGGACCAGAATGTAAGTCAACTAGATAATTGCTATTGTGTTGCTGAGCAGGGAGCCTTACAGACGGAGTGCCGGTGTGAAGACATGGCCAGCTCATCTCAGCTCGGGCTGCTCCGTGGCCTCTTGCAAGGGCCAATTGGGGTCCAATTGATATCCATTTAATGTCCAATTGCTGATTCAAATGCTGTTTTTAGTCATCTCCCACTACCAGAACAAGGAGTTTGCCTGCATCGCCAACCCCTCCATCGTCATCAGCATAGATCGTGTCAATGACAACACCTGCGATTGCCCAGACGGCTCAGATGAGCCTGGCACTGCTGCGTGTGCCTTCATCGACCCTCTCTCCCCTGAGCAGCCCCTGTATGGCAGCCCTTCTGGAACTACAAATGCCACTCGCACCCTGCCCGGATTCTGGTGCAACAACAAGGGGCACATCGGAGGCTACATTCCGTTTACATTCGTCAACGATGGCATCTGCGACTACGACGTATGCTGTGATGGATCAGACGAGAATGGCAGTGCCAACGGTGTCAAGTGCGAGAACCGCTGTGCGGCGATAGGCAAGGAGTACCGGAGACTGGCTGAAGAGAGAAAGAAGGCCCATGCAAAGGCCATCGTCAAGAAGCAAGAAATGATCAAGCAAGCATCGGAACTTCGTCAACAAGCCGAGGCTCGCGTCACCGCTCTGGAAAAGGACGTCAAGGATCTCGAGGTCAAGAAGGAAGAATTGGAGCGCGAGTATGCTCGAGTCCAAAACGAAGAAGCAGGTAAGATTGTGCGACGTAAAGCCGGTGCCGGGGGTAAACTCGGTGTCCTCCTTGGTCTCGCCAAGGACAGAGTTGAAGAGTTGCGGGAGGCTCTCAGACTGGTCACGGAGGACCGCGAAATCATGCGCGGCAAGAAGAACGAGCTCGAAGCCATTCTCGCGCAGCTCAAGCAAGACCATGACCCCCACTCCAAGGATGAGGTAGTCAATGTTGCGGTCAAGTCTTTTGAAGACTGGACAGCCCGCGAAGCCTCCGCTGACCAGTCCGAGTTCCTCGAGTCCGATATCAACGAGATCCTCAAAGAGGACGATGAGACCAACGGAGTGAACTGGAAAGCATTCGAAGAGCATCAAGATGACACGGACATTCGTAAGCACTATCAGCTTATCGTCATTGTCTCTTTATTTTATTAAACTTATTTTTGTTGGGATGCTGACTTTGAGTCTTTTCTTTTAGTCTACGATTTTGACGCTTACATCCCTCCCTTTATCCGCGATGTGCTTCATGACAAAATCAGGATTGTTCGTAAATGGCTGATTTCTAATGGCATGATGGCGGATCCGGCCACTGATGGTTCAGAATCAAGTGCTGTCAAGGCTGCTCGGGAGGCGGCCGAAGGAGCCGCGCAGGAGCTCAGTCACAAGACTAGGGAGCTTGAGCAAGAGAGGTCGGATCTCCAGAAGGATTTTGGGCCGTCTGACATTTTCCGCGCCATCCAGGGCAAGTGTGCCGAGATTGACGCCGGTGAGTATACGTACGAGCTCTGCTGGCTCGACAAGACTCTCCAAAAGTCCAAGAAGGGGCATGCCTCCTCCAACATGGGCAACTATGCGCGAATTGATATTGCAATTGCCGATGAGGAAGACAGGGTGGACGGTAAGAGCCTAGGCAGCGGTCCCAGGATGGTAATGCGATACGAGAACGGCCAGACCTGCTGGAACGGCCCTCAGAGACGAACCGACGTCTGGCTCGGATGCGCGGAGACGGAAGAGATCTGGCGGGTTAGCGAGGCCGAGAAGTGTGTCTACAAGCTGGAGGTGGGAACGCCGGCAGCCTGCGAGGACGAAACTGTCAAGAAATCGCATGAAAAGGATGAACTGTAAAGCGGCACACTCTTGGACGTTGTAGAACGGCGACACACGGCCCAGACACTGTAAGGCATGGAGCGGCTTCGATGACCCTCGTTTGCGAGCGGGCGACAGCCATTTCGGAGTACGGAATTAGAAGAAAACGTTTACACCAAAGGTCAAATGATAATCGAAATGATGATGATGATGACGAGGAGGATGACTCCTTGTCTTTAATGATACTAGTAGCACCTGCATCACCGCGCCGAGCCAAAATGTGACAATTGCTGATGGAAAACTCAAAGAGGGATATCCTTTGCAGACGACACATCGGTTTTGGCTGCCAAGTCATTTATTCACTTGATGCCTTATTGGACGAAATTCATGCCAGGCCGACTACTCGTACGAGCTCTACGACCCACTGCGCGCCATCTACAGTAGTTCGGCGCCGAGGATTGGACTTCTTTCCAGACCAAGGAGGCTGGCGCTGTATGTCAGATGGTGGGCTCCAACTCTGATAGGTGACACGGAATATTGACACGGAATATCGCCACATTGTTTCGATGATGTTTCCGATCCGCCACGACACCCTCAGCAGAGGCAGAGGCAGATACACAACAAAAGGCGTGGTCATGTCAGGTCAGAGTCGGCGGTAAGAGACATCGACAGACGGACGAAAGGGGGACGACAAAAGAGTTGAAGCACCGGTGACGCCCAGGAACAAGCGGACTGGTCAATGGCTGCGCGCGCGGCGCAAAGCTGAAGCTGTCCCAAAGCTTGGCGGGGCCCGTCTATGGATCCCTTCTTCGACCTCGTGTCTAGTGCCAGGCTATTTGAGTCCTAGTGCCCGGAGGCGTCTGGAAGCCCCAGGGCTGAGACTTCACCGCATTGAGGTTGATGCAAGATTCCGCGTGTCGCGCAGAATCCTACCTGATTGGGTCACCTTGCGGTTCTCGAGCCTGGTCGCGGGTAACTAGCATCCTCGGCTCCGTTTGAGGTGCGACGTCGGTGATTAGCAGTTAAAGCTGGCAAAGCTGGCGAGGATCAAAGCGTCCTCGAGAGACATGGGTGGTCGGTCAGAACGCCATCTCTGCTTCTCTCACACTCACAAGCACGAGCATCAGACTATGACAGGTGGATTTATATCAACGATGTTAGCGTCCGGCATCCGAGATGCCCGTTGTTGATCCGGTTGACAAAGGTGCCGCCAAAATAGGAAGAGCAAAGAGTTTCGTTCACATCAAGTCCCGTACTGTACGAGCAGCCCACATCCGGCCATCTCTGGTTCGCTGGGGCCGATATATTAGTAGGCTATTTTGGTTGATAGCATCAGTCTACCATGTAGTTTTTGGCTTCTCGCAACTTTCCTTCTTAAGCAACCACAGGACCCGCGGCCCCGTGTCGCTTTTTTGATGGGCCTCGGGGAGTTTTTTTTTTTTTTCAATCACATTTGGAAGCACAGACTCTTATGTTGGAAGCTTGTAGTCGTTTACCCCAGGCCAACGTAATCCATAAGAGTGTCGTTTCTTCCCTCTTCACTTCGTTACATTCATTCATTTTCTAGTTAATTGTCTATTCCTCCAGAGTGGTGAGCTTCTGGTATCGTCTGCTGCAGTTCGGTTGTGAAGCTTCCATCATCTTCTTTTCTCCATCTTCTATATAGTCTCCACGAATATGGGTGAAGCAGAGTTACCAGCACAAAATGCTGGCTCATCAACTTACACCCCCTTCCTGCTACGACTATACGACTTGGTAGTTCTCAGCATATCAAACAACTACGCGTGGAAGTGCTCGACAGAAAAAGTACAACTACCCCTTTTCAAATCTGCTCTAGGAACCAAACATCTTGATGTTGGCGTTGGCACGGGATACTTCCCCGCCAATGCCGTCAGGACACAAACCTCTTGCAAAGAGATTACACTCGTCGACCTGAACCCCAACACGCTGAACCTGGCGGCTTCTCGCATCACTACAGCACAGAAGAGCATCAAAGTACACACCGTCGTGGCTGATGCGACCGAACCGCTGCCACTACCGGCAGGCGCAACATTCGACTCCGTGAGCATCTTCTACTTGCTACACTGCATTGCCGGGCCGCCAGAGAGGAAGAACAAAGTGTTCGACTTGTTAAAGGACTACGTTGCCGAGAACGGCGTTCTAGTAGGGACAACCATCTTGGGAGAGGAGAGGCCGATGAACTGGCTCGCGAGACGACTCATGACGATCTACAACGATAAGGGCATATTCGACAACTGGAAGGACAGCAGAGCCGTGTTCGAGGAGGGCTTACGGCGGAACTTTGGCGAGGTGGACATCCAGATCATCGGCAGGACCATGGTGTTTACCGCGAGGAATCCCAAAAGGGCAACATAGTGCGCCGCCGTCATATGATGTTCAGGGGAGGTGTGATTGGGTAGATACACGAGAGTGAGCGAGATGGCCCTGTTCTAAGCTGGGATGTGTGGAAACAAACGTAATGCTGACCCCGGATACACGGAGGGCTTGTTCTTCTAAATTGTCGATACCTTATTCCTTTTTTGTAACTATCGTTGTATTATCTTTCTTAGTCTTAGTCTTCGCGAACCCTTGCGCCGCACACAAACTACAATATAGTCAGCAGTACCACTACTAAACCAGATGCTCCATCCCCTTATCCGAGGTAATGATATGTTTATGCCCAATGTGCGTGTATGCCCACATCTTCCCCCCTGGCATGGAATCTCCTTGGTTCCCAGCCAAAGCTGAAATGCACAGGGGCGGGGTCCCCACGTAGCCCGACTTCCAGACCATCTTATTATTTCCCTCCTTACATCACTAAGAAATCATAGATTACTACTGTTGACAATCTCTCCATAGGCGTGCGTGGTCGTACTTTGAACAGTCGGTAAGTTTCGGCGCCTTCATCACATCAACATCCCGTCCCGCACAGTATCTGTAAGCAGGCGATCCAACAAACGCTTCAAAACGAAGCTTTAGCCACTAATAAGATGAAATGAGTCGCTGTTGCTTCTCTATTGGCTCTCTTTTTTTTCTCATCCGGTGCTACGGATGAGTGTGATACGTTGATGTGCTACTAGCTAACCCCCTTTTTGTANGGGGGGGGGGGGGGGGGGGGGGGGGGGGTTGATCAACAATCGTAGACTTTGTCCCGGTTGCGTCTTTTTCCAGAATTTTTCTAGTGACATTCGTCTGCTTCTGCTTCATTTTTCACCTTATCAAAGTCAAATGTGGCATGAGTAGTGTCGCCACGGCAGAGCGTCACCAGTGCCGTCTGATGTAAGACGTCGCTTTAAAGACATGCCGCACCCAAACTTTGAGTTACATTGCGATTATCGTGTACCTACCCATCTATAAACACACTTTGCAGCATCTTGCCTCAGACAAGTATACTTCTCTTCATTAGCAGCCATTAACAAATCTCAAAAAACAATAGTTGTCATGTAACAAAGAGCCGCAGTCCCATCTCAACCTCCATCAACCCCGTCCATACTTTCCCCTTTGTCACAAAACAAAGAAGCCATCTCTATTCTTCAAAACCCCCTCTCCAACCGACTACCGAACCCAAAAAAATCTTCATACCGTAACCCACAAGTTCGACTCCATCGAAACCAAGGAGGTGGGCGCGCCTTTACACTCTCTCATATCCCAACAAAATCACATTCCGCTCGCGCTTAGACTAATTTTTTCCTGTTCTTTTTTTTCTTCTCTTTTGTCTCCATCTCATCTTACTAAATATTTTGCCACGGGATGGAGAAAAGGAAGAAAAAAAACCTTCAAAAAGTAAAGCCAATATTACACTCTCCCTCTCTCCACTCTTTCACTGTACTCAGCCCAATCCGTCATCCTCACACTCTTAATCACAGTAACATGTTCAAAAAGACGTAAGCAATACAGAAAAAGGCAATCCAGCACGTGGAGAAATCTCACCAAAGCATATGCCAATCCTCATAATATGAAACCCTCAGCAGCCAAGAGCAAGAAGGAAACTCAGTGCTCTGATTACAAGTAAGAGAGAGTGACATACAATGCCAAAGAGTCTGACACACTTCAAACGGATTTAATTCCGCGCTTATCCGACGGAATGTGTGGGAAAATATGAAATATGACTTCTTTTGTTGCTGCTGACTTGTATATATAATCGTGCTTACTTAGCTTGGCAGCGTGAGAAATATCTAGCTAGAAGCGGCGTGTATTAGTCAAACTACCCAATTACCGATACGAAATTGCTTCAAATTACTCTCTCTATAGACGTAACAAGTTTCATGTCATATCTAACAGAGTAAAAACGTGAAAGATGACCAAAAACTGACATCTTATCCCCATACGAGATATACAGGAGTCAAACCTTTAAAGCGCTTACAGCGAGAAACGATGGATGCATGAGAAACAACAAGAAAGAAAAGAAAACAAGGCGAACCAAGATTCAAAATTTCATGCATCATTAAAACAAAATAATAAACCTGCTCGCTCGTCATGACGATTACAATTATAACCCCAGGCCGGCGCGCAAACAACTGCCATAGCCAAAAGCATTGTCCTCCCTTCCAAACTCCCATCAGGGGTCAAGCAAGAAAGAAGAGGAGAGGCACAATTTCATGGTGTGCCCCTGTGCTGATCCCGCTGCCAAAATATCCGAATTCAAACCCTTCCTGGTTCTGATGCTGAAGCGCTGCTAATCACCTGCAAGACATGCCCACTCCTACATCCGCTTGCTGTCTATTTCCGCTATTTGCCCAAGGCCCGCCTAATATGCTTAATCCCTTCGCCTACCAGAAGCTGCACCATCCGATATAGTGCTGACACAGATTCTCCAATTTCGTAGCTTCGATGATGAGCTTGTTCACTTGGTTAATGATATCTAGCTCCTCGTTAGGCTTGAAATCGCGTCCAGTAAGCTTCTGTGAAACGCGGTCGAGCACTTCAATCGCTCTAGCGTTTTGGCTCTCTCTCTCTTCCGCACCGTTGGCCTGGGCACCTTCTGGTATCGTTGAGCTGTTTGTGCGGGCTCTGTTCCTAGCCATGGGGGGTGCCGAAGA